GCCGGGGCGAGCGGCACCGCCGGGACGAGCGTGGCCTTAAACCGCCTTTTCTGACCCAAAATAGGGGTAAAGAAGCGCTGGGCAGTGTTAGTGCGACCAGGAGAGGGGCCGGAGCTGTCTTGGTGCCTCTCACCCGTACATGGAAAAGCCTCGTAGAGCTCAGCTTGGGGGAGAAAAGACATTTTTATTTATTTTCTTCTTAATTTTCTTTTTTTTTTTCTTTTTTTTTCCCTTCCCTCCTCTTCTGCTCTTACCTTGAGGCTGTGAGTAGTGGCAGTGGATGGCAGTGACTGCGTATGTTAACCAACGCCAGCCTCGGTTCTCACGTGTCGCGTTGGCAACAGTGTGCCTCTTTACTACGCTGTTTACTTAAAGAAAAAAATCTAGTTCCAAAATGGCTGGTGGTGTAAGTGTGTGTCGTGGTTGCAGCTTGAGGGGAGTGGTGTAGGCTTGTAGGCTCGCAGGTGCTTTCCRACCTTCCTTCGGATGTGTGTTTTAACCCAACGCTGTTCTTTACGTCTTGGTGTAGAAAAAGAGTGAAACTTCGAGGCTGCTCGTTACACATGCTGTGATTTGAGACGATACCGTGTCCCACACTGTCACTGTTTTGAATAAATACTTTTCAGAGCTTCGTTGTTGTGTTTTGTATTTTAATGATGTTTTTAAGTTGTAGAGGTTGTCTAAAGTCAGAGTTCATTAACTGTGTTTTCTGAGGAGATCCCCCACTAGAGGGGATCTTTTGAGCTAAAAGAAGTTCACTGCAAGCAATGTCCTCATCCTAATAATGCATTTTTCAAGTTTAATTTTACTTCAATTTAGGAATTTGGCCTCTTTAGTTCTGTAGTGCCCTTGAGCAATTTCAGGGTCTTTGCTATATCTGAGGAAGAACTGTTCCTTCTAGAGTTATATACAGTGGTATATACACAGAGTGTATATTTGCAAAGCAGTAACGTAGATCAAAGTCATGCTGTAAAAGCAGTCTGACTTTGTTATTTTCAGTGCTTTTTGTCATAAAACATGTGTTTGCAAAGTTGTTAATTGAATTTCTGGTTTTCTTTCTAAAAAAATCCCCATTTTATTTATTAACTATTGTCCTTAAAACCACTGAAAGCAAAGAGAGGTTTCAAATGAGTGCTGCTTCAGCCCCTAGAGGACCTGGTATTTCTGTGTGTGGTGCTGGACCTTGGGGTGGCCACATGAGGATCAGGTGTCACACGTGATATGGGAGGAGGCTGGAGCTGCAGCTCAGTGCCTGGCTGGGCTGAAAGGGAATTTAGGGCCTCACATCTGTTTGATTTTCCTCATCTAGCCATTGCGTGAAGAACTTGAGCAATAATAAAATAGTTTTGGAAAATGCAGGACAGCTCAGCCTAAWGGATTGACTCTTAGCATGGGTAATCCTGAACTTTGGTGGGTTAGCGAGTAGGATGGGATGCATTGCACAGCTCACAAATAGTAGGTTTTACATATGTGTGTAAGAATCATGAAAATCAAACATAGAGTTGGGGGGTTTTTTAGTGTAATTGAGTTGCTTGCATAATACTCTGACTAGCTAGACGAGTTTTTGTTGTAAATATTCTGATGTGTGCTTAATGTCTTCTCAAAGAGCTTTTCTTTTTCTTTTCCCAAGGTATGCTTCGCTGGCATTGCGTGAAATCAATGTAAAGTGGGTTCTGAAGAGTACTTTTTTTCTTGATGTAAAATGCTTGACCTGTATATGTTGAGCTTTGCTCTGACATGTGCAGATGGCATCTATAGTACACAATGGACTTGGATTTTTAAGCAACAGACATGTTTTCTTTGGTTCAATTAGTGGGGATTGTGCTTTTCCAGCATATTTTACTGCTGTGAGATTATTTCATGATGAGGGATATGCAGTAGTGTGTGATACACACAAGTGATATACAGTGTGGTAGGTGATACACAAGATGAGGTCTGAGGTATCCGTGTGTTCATTAAGGTTTAGTTATTCCACGTCACCAAGAGCTGTTGTGCTGTGTGTGCAATGCGCGAGAGTGTGGGCAGTTTCTCTAGGGAGTGGGTATTGTAATGTAAGTTCCCAACTTGTATAGGAGTCACATTTTGAGGAATGCAGCAATGTGTTCTGCCTTCAGCTGGGTGAGCTGGAACCCCTAATTATCTCCATGTTTGCTGCATGATACAATGGATGTTTGGTAGCGACTTGGCAAGCTGTTTTCTGCCTCAATACACTGCAGCTGCCGAAGTAATTATTTTCTGAGTCCTCCTTCGCAGGAAGGAAGTACATCTTTCCCCTCCTTTTTTACCTGCTTTAAAAAGCAGTAAGCAGCAACTATGTCCTTTATGTTTAATCAAGGAACTAAAAGTGAAAAAGAAACTAGTGATCCCTCAGAAATTTGTGTATTGAATTCATGTAAGGTTTGTACTCTGCAGTAGAAAAAGCAAGGCTGGTGGGATTGGGGGAAAATCATTGCAGATGCTTAAACAGATAACAGCTTCYGTGACTCTTGTTGTACCGGGTGGCAGCACTTTTTCTGAGTAAGTCAAGCCCTCAGTCATTTTTACCAAGATAATATTTTTCTGAAAGTTTTGATTGGGCAGCAGGTAGCATCTSTGCTATGCTAGGGGGAGTGTGGTGTTACTCTTGGGTCGCTCAGTGGGGCTGGAGTTTTGCGTGTGGTCCTCAATTGGCCACCTGTTGCTACTTCTGATGCATTTTAGAGTTACAACAAGTTCAAAACTGCATCTGCCTATATATTCCTTCTGGTGATAGAAAAGCTTAATGAATTTATACATGTTATCAATTATTTTAGTAAACCTTAGGTTGTTTTTCTTTGAAATCGGTGCATACAGTTCTTCTGTTTGTGAACTGTTTGTCTTCAATCCTGCCAGGCTGGACAAATACCGCACCATTATGGAGAATGAACCAAGCACGACAACGTGTTCTGCATCCACAACTACTATCACCACCACCTCGACCTCCCGGACGCAGCTCCCTCAGATATCCGTCTACAGCGGCTCGGATCGACATGCTGTCCAGGTACTGGGCTAGGACACGTTTTTTCCTACCCTGCTCTGCAGCGTCCTCCAGTACAGCCATTGCACGATACTTTGCACCAGATTAACTTTCTCTTCCTAAATGCTGCTTTGTTTCTTAATGTCTGACTTACCAGTTCTCCTAAAATATTGTTTACCCAAGGATACTGGACCATTTCAAAATAGTGCTATAGGTAGAAGTTATGAATTAACGTATGATAAATCTACTCTGTTGACRAGCATAGATTAGAGAGATCCAGAGGTATTTTATTTAGTGTAACTCTTTTGCTTCACTGGGTGCATTCTCCCTTGTCATTATTTAAAGTGGGATTTTATAGAGCCCACTCCTTTAGGTTTAATAACCGATTCTCCCACGTGCTATTCTGACCTTCCAAAAAGCAGGCCGTCTTTTAGGACTTGTCGACAAGAACCTAAGAGTCTTGGAAGTAGTGCTGTTGAATCCTGTTGTGTAATGGATTGGCAGGCTTTCCTGTAAGCCTAAATATATTATTTATTTGTGTTGTATATGCTCTGTAACTTTATTGAGAACAGTGGCGATAGAGGAAGTTCAGTATTGTGTAATTGGTGTGCAGAGGGTTTGTTTAGTTTAATTTCCTTGTAAAGGTAAACTTCAGTATCATATCAGCAAGGTGTGTGTTTTGTAATTGTAATTACCTACTGATTCATCACAGGTTATTCAGCAGGCCTTGCATCGTCCTCCTAGCTCAGCTGCTCAGTACCTTCAGCAGATGTATGCAGCCCAACAGCAGCATCTAATGCTGCAGACTGCTGCTTTGCAGCAGCAGCACTTAAGCAGTACCCAATTTCAGAGTCTGGCAACTGTACCACAGGTGAGAGTGAAGATTGCTGAAAAATAATGGTTTACTACTTCATTCTAGAACATTAGCAAACATAATAACAGCTTAAGTGCCTGAGCGTAATACCTCACAATAATTCACTGTTGTGTTTTAATGACTTAGTTCTTTTAAATTGTAACTGTACCAAACTACTTGGAGGAATTTGACCAGTGTTACAGATGTTCCAGTAGGCCTCCATTCCATGCTTTATTGCATACATTATAATGCATCATATAAATCATCAAATAGTATAATAAATAATGTTAAAATAGACTACTTCGGTCTTCATCCCATTATTTTACTAWAAGTTGATAAGAGCAATAAATAGAAATGTACACCAGTGAAATCAAGTAAGGTGTCATTATTTTTAGTGTGCTTCRCCACACAACTGGCTGCATTGTAAGCGACAGCAAACTTCAGTTTAAACTTTAAGTATGGAAACGTAGGAAATAAATGACAGTGGAAATGACATTTTATTTCAGAGGAAAAGATTTTCATGTTAATGAGCACTGGAGCAGACCCATTGTGAAAACTCAATCAGTGAAAACACTCCCTTTGATCTCAGTTCACCTTGTTTTAGYAATATGGTCCTGCGAAGATAGGTGGGTGTAAGAATTTCACAAGCAGAGATACTCAAACAGAGTGTAAAAACTTCAGGGCTAMACCTGTTTGTTGTCAGAACTAGTATTGACTCTTGTGTGCTCCTGGCTTCTACTTCTGTATGCTTTCTGTTAGATCAAGGTAATTTATTTATTGTTTTTTTATGAGGCATTTGTGTTTGCATATATGTGCAGTTACTGAGATGAAGAAAAACAGATTGGGGAAGGGGGAGAAATTTGATATGCAGTCTATTAATATAAAAATTTAATGTCACTCAATCAGAATTGCTGTAGTAAAGTTCTAGTTCATATCAGATACTGGATATGCATACATAAATTATCATTCTAGAAAGCGTGAAGGTGTTCCTTGTAGCATTTGTAAAAGTTGGGKTTTTTTTTAGGCAATTCTAAGTACAACAAAAATGGATTGATGTGCTTTTTAATAGCAACAGTTTTTAAAGATGTCATGTTGTAAGGTCTCCAGCACCCTAGGTAGTGAGCTGATCAGTAAGCTGCAGCATTAACCCGTCTCTAGATTTCATTTTGATAGTTTTTGTTCAGGTCTTAATCTGCAAGTGCCTGAATACCAGAAAGTTTGTGGTAGTTGAAGGCATTTAGTACCCTGTAGGTATTTTTCTATGGGGTACAGTGCACTTTGAAAATTAATTCTGCCAAGTATTTTACTTCTGACTCAGAGAAAGGGCACTAGTACAAAGAAATTTCTGATGGTTTATGCAATAATATGAACATCACTTCAGTACTTTCTGATTTCAGTGTTTGACACATATTCTTGCTATTTAGGCAAGCCTGTCAGGTGGGAGGCAATGTACTTCCCCCACTGGGAGTGTCACTCAGCAGTCAAGCATGTCGCAGACCTCGGTACGTAACTGAACAAGCCCTGCACCCATTCTCATCCCCTGCTGGTTATTATATACCTACTTGGAAAAGCAAAAAAACATTTTAGGATTTAAGTTTGTGTGATCTTTTGAGCAACACTAAATAGAAGTGTGATGTGCTGGCTGTGCTTCCAGTGTCTGCCACTCCTGGYGTGTGGTGCCAGCCCATATTGTTGCTGGCTGGAGTTCGAGGCTCCTGTATGTCCGTGCACTGTTAGTGCTCTGACTCTCACTTGCAGACACCAGTGACTTTACCAGACTACTTGCTTCCTAACCTTTAATTTCTGATATGCTTTCTTACTTGATTTTTACCATTAGTTTCTTTGTGCAGGGCGCTTTGGTAGCTAGAAACAGTAACACTGTGTACAGGTAATTAAATAGCACTGAATCTAAGTAACCCAAGTCATCTCATTGTATACCTTTAATATCGTATAAATAGCATTCGTTCTTTTATTATCATCTTATAGTATGCATCTTTTATGCACAATCACATACTCATACTCAAATAATGTACTCAAGTTTCATTTATTAGCAGCTCTATCTGTTCATCTCATGCTGTTTTCCTTTAAATGCCATCTTCATACATGTAATTTGCCTGGTCTGTTATGCACAGCTGCACAGTCCACTTTTAGGCCATCTTTTGTCCTAAAGACATCCTGCTTATGGGTCATGGACTCAAGCTGTTCATGACTTCAGTGCATARCTGTATTTTTTTAAGCTTTTGGAGCGTTGCTTCAGCTTTCAGTTCTTAGAAGTAAAATCATTCATTCATTAAATTTAGGAAACAAAGTTGTTGATGTTAAACTGTCAGCCAACCCAAACTAAAATTGGGTTGGGATTTCCAAGGAAATCTTTTGAGTAGAGTGATGAAAAGGAGCTGGGCACTTAACTCTGTTAAACCTCTCAGAAGAAAACCAGCTTTTGTGTCAAAATATATTGAAGAGAAATCATTGAGGAGCATTTGACATGTAATTGTAAAAAGAAAAGTTTTAGTCTCCAGTCATTTTTAAATGTGCCTATATAGAATGAGGAACCAAAACGTATATTGAGACATAAATAAAATGTCCTCATCTGGACAAGTGTTAAGTTTCATAATGAACATCTTGGGAAGATGTTCAGTCAGATAACATGGAATTTTAAAGACATAAAAGTATTAGAAGTGTTTTTCTTAAAAGGTTATAAGTTTGTACAGTATATTCTGTACATTTGTATTTATATGAAGTATGTTTTTYGGAGTTCATAACATCACTGTTTATGATCATAGTTGCTTATCATGTACTGCAAAATGTTCTTTGCAGCTTGAGAGTGGAGTGTACAATCTCACCAGAATCCAGTTTTATGATGATTGGATCAAGGTATTTTTCTTATCTCTACAGTTCAGAAGTTTCGGCTGCCCCGGCCGATTTTGCCAAAGGCTTTCTGACTTTAGTCCCCTAGGAAGAATGAATATCCATGACAGAAATAATATTTTTGTTTCCTTAGATTAACCTCTCCACCTCTCCTACACCTGCACAGATAATAAGCCGTTCACAGACCTCCAACACCACCAGCAGCAGTATCACCCAACAGACCATGTTGCTGGGGAGCACCTCTCCAACCCTGAGTGCAAGCCAGGCTCAAATGTATCTCCGAGCTCAAATGGTGAGTTTTGACCTTTGCAGTGTTATAGTTTATTTTTGTTTCTCTAAATTATTCATGTATTTCTTCTTTAGTTTCAGGGAGCATTGATAATGTGATTTCTAATTTTGTGAGTACCTATCTTCTGGAGCAGTTTAGACCTCAAAAGAGCAAAAGTACTGTTCTAACGTAATTCTCTAAAGTTTGAGTGTTTTTTATTTGCTTGTTTTTTTTAAGGCATGGTCTTATTGGCAGCTATTTCATTAAGTATGGGAAAAAATCTGTCCTTTCTTCCTGACTATGCAAAAGACATACTGGAGTCTGTTTTCATTCTGGGTAGATTGTTCTAATGCAGTGTTAACATTCAGAGTTCAGACTTTTGATTAAAATTTTCTTATACTTAACTAAGATTATTCTGAGTTGAATTATTGTCTCTAGGGTTTGAGTCAGATTTATAGTTTTCATTCTCTTTGGAATAACATGAAACTCATTAGATTCTTGCCATTTTCTATCAGGTGACACTTCTATTTTTAGAAGAAACATTTCCTTCCTGATGTGGTGTTTCTAGAACATCTGTTTAGTGTATTGTGATTTTTATTTATTTTTTGTAAACTAACACTTTCCATAGTTCAAATATGCTGCAGTGAGCTTTGTATAAGTTGATTCTTGTAACATGTACAATTTCACAGAAAATTTCACAGAAAATGCTGAGTTTGCACATAAGCACCCAGGTCGTGATTAGTACTTGAACAAGGACAAAGATGACATTGATTGTGAGCATGTATGACCACGTTGTGAAGTTTCATGCTGAACTGTATGATACAGGAAAATTCCCTGTTAGGCTGCGCTGAAATTTGAAGTCAGAGGTCCCAAGTGAGGCCTGAGTTCTAGCAGGGATGGTGCTTAGGAAGTACACTTGGGAAAAGTGATCCCTTGCTCTCTGAGATGCTTTCCTAGGTTTGTGCAGTTATTGGTATTGGTCTCTGAACTTTGTTTGGTTTCCTACATTTGCTGAAAAAGCAGTATAACTTCAAGGTAAAGGATTTATAGCACATACCATCAAACACTATGTTGCAAGCAACTACTTATCCATCTACCCGGAAACAGTTTTCTTAAGTCTTCATCCAGACTCTGTGTTGAATTCCTTGCTTACTTCAATATGTGTCTTCCCACACCTCAGCTTTGAGGGAGAATCTTCTCTTGCTTGTTTCTGTGTAGGATAGCACCACAGGATCGTTTGGCTAGGCTGAGCCTACCAAGCCTCTTTCAATCTTCTACTGTTTCTCGCTAACAAAAGCCATATATTTTTAATTGCCGTGTTTTTTAATTGTCAAGGCCTTTCATTTTGTGACAAAAGGCAAACTCTTGTCTCCAATTAGCTCATAACATCAGCCTTCATTACCAACATTTACGTCCAGATAAATACTTGGGTATTTAAAAATCCAAAAGACGAACTGATAGCCACTCTTCAAAACTTTCCATAAAGTTTGYCTTTTCCATACTGCATATAAAGAAATTGATGGCAGTGGGGTATTTTGAAACTACTTATTTGAGATTGCTTGTATAATACCTTTTCTTTAAATGAAAATTATTTAGCATAGCTGAAGAAGTTATTATCAACTCAATCAGCTTGTTGAATGGCTTTTTTAAGAGAGTTGAGAGGTCTTCTAGATTTTCTTTAATATTATAAATGTCATAGAACAAATATCTTGGTTATTTTCTAGTGTTACTTAACTACTGCAATAAACTCAAAAACAGTTTATTGAAAAGCAAGTATTAGAAGCTTTACATCACTACATATAATTTGTGTCTTTTCTTCAAAGTATTTAATTTCTTTCATGTATTTCAAAGTCTCAGTCTTTTATCTGCCTTATTTTCTTAACAGCTTATTTTCACTCCTGCTACCACTGTGGCTGCTGTACAGTCTGACATCCCTGTTGTCTCCTCTTCCTCATCTTCCTGTCAGTCTGCAGCTACTCAGGTGAGCTCGTGTAAATTTATAAATGTGTCCAGCACAGTGGGCCAAAATTGGGAAGTGAGGAAATATGTAAGGCATAAGTTTTACCTGCTTATAGAAACAAGTAATGGGTGCTGTTTCTTTGCGTCCTCAKCATCTTCTGTTAAGTATTACCACACACATTAAATAATTGATTTCTGAGATCAAAACAATAGTTAAGATGTGCATTTTACAAAGGTGATTATTTTGTTGCAAGGAGAACAACAACAACAACAAAAAAAAAAGCAGCAGTAAAAATCCTTCCCAAATTCATCTAGTAGTAGCTGTGTTCTAGACGTGCCTGTATTTACCTTGATTTATTGTGCAGGAATGCATTTCTGGAAAGCTCACAGATTTAAATTTTCTCACTTGAATTCTTTTTGTTCAGAAATCTTCAGGTAATTTCTTAGTATAACTTAACTACATTCATTATGCTATATCTTTACACTGTAGAATAATCCTACATTTAGCTTGTATTTCTGTGTTACTGTTTATCATTGTCCTCTACGTAAGACTACACAGAAAACTAAAAAATACTGTAGTTTTAGTAGTATCAATATATTGATAAAATCTAACTTGATCTTTTCATGTCTAAGTGATTCAGACCCAGTGGATTATGATGCTTATGGAATGCCATGATTTCCGTGCTGGGTTGGCAATACCATTGTAAGATTGCTTGGATTTCATTTCAAGTGCGTTCCAAATATTACATGAAATATTATTTCACATTCACTGGAATGAATGAAACAACTGGAAAAAATGTTTGTATTTTATTATGAGATRTAATAAATTGCCATTGCACATTTGCCACTTCCAGGTAACTTGCATGGGTGCAAGATGCCAGGGTGATGTGAGCCCAGCTGTCACTGTTTCAGTGGCAGCTGGGGCTGCTCACATGTCTGAATATCAGATCCTGGAGCTTCAAGACATTCAGAAAACGAAGTACAGGCAGTTMACGGTCACCCATGAAAAAACTAAATCAAATGTCTTGTCTGCTGTGATGCTGTGATTTGTGATAGATATAGGCACAAGGAATCTATGGGATCACGCTGTCACTTTCGAGTCATTTTGTGTCAACTTTAACACAACCAAAGTGAGATCTTCAGTCAGTGGCATTGATTTAGTGCGCTTTTCTGGAAGGTGTTTGTGACTTTTTGTTTTTTCTCTGAGCTCTGCTTCTGTTTTGATTTAAATGCAGTTTTGCAACTTCTCTTGTATGTTTTCACTTTTTCAGCACATATTGGCTTTTTCTTCTCTCTTTTTTTTTTCTTGAATATTCAGTGAAGCGAATTGCATGCTCTGAGAATTGGAGTCTAAAAGGAGTCCTGCGTAGTATAGGCAAGACTGAGAGTGCTGTATCTTTTTTTATCACTGGGTCCTGATAAAAGGGCTTGGTTAGGTCTTCCCATTGCTTTCAAAATTTCAGTTCTGGTTTCTCATGTTGAATAGATTCTTCTTAACTGCTGAAACAAAGTTAGTTTCTCATTAGTGTCTGTGGCACTATGCAGGTTCTTTGTCAATGGCTCTGTCAGGTTGGATGTGATATCCTTGATATGTTTTGAGGAGCACTGCCTTCAAAAACGCAGACTGGGATGATGTGGTTCATTTGGACTTAAAGAATAGTAACATTTAATTTGAAGCATCTTGGTTAGCATAACCCCTTACTTATAGGAACACCAGTATTCTCATCCTTGTGTTACTTGCTCAGATGTTCATTTGGAACCTCCTCTTAGTCTGCAGAGACTCTGATAGACCATGTCAACAGAGGAAAATGTTTTCTTGGAATCTGGTTCATCTTCTCTTTTATTAGTCTTCTGTAGTGATGATTAATCCTGCATAATAGCTTCAGAGTAGACATTCACCATCTGTGATGTGGCATTCACTGATCCACAGGAGCTTTGACTTTTTGACTTGCTCGGTGCCTGTGTTTATTGGTGGAGCMTTCCAGTTTTTCTGAGAACTCTTATGTGAATTGACCAACCGAAGAACAAGATTTATTTAATATCACCTGGGTTTTTGCTCCCTTTTTGGCAGTATAAATACCAGAAAGATGCATAAAGGTTCGGTTTGTGCAAGTCTTTCTAGCTGTGCAACCAGTCAACTTCATGAGATATTTCTGCAGAGCAATAGTCTGACCTTACCCCAGGCTGCTGAGCTGCTGCTGAGCTGCTGGCGTGACCCATCGAACTCGAGGTGTTTCTCAGCGTTCCATAACATCCCATTGGCAGATGCTGTTAACCTTAATTGTGTAGTGGTTTCTATAGCAACAGCAACACTGCCGAGGTCCAGTTTCACCTAGTCAGTGATGCATTGGAAGAGTGTTAATTTTGGTCCGTTTTATGTTTTTCTCATCCTGTGATAAATATGCCCTTGTGGTTTCAGTTGTCTGGGCTTGAAGAAAGAGAAGTGTCTTTATTGACCATGTAAGCAAATCTGAGTCGATAAGCAATTCCAGGGAATTAAAAAAAAAAAAAACTGTGTGTGTATATAATTTTTTTTTATACATGCATATATTACCTTTAGTCCAGATAAATCATAGTGGTTTTGTGGTATTTTTCCATGACAAAACATCAAAAAGAAGCTCAAGTTTTTCAGTGATTAGCAGTGTCTCAACAGAACACCTGCGACACCCAGAACTGACACTTTTCTGTTTTTTTCTCTTCTGTTTTCATACATTTCTTATTTTTGTGTCTTTTTTTCCTATATGTCCTGCAAATCTCAGGTTGCTTATTTAACTGATAAGGTCTGCTGAAGTTTGATTTGCGCTCACAAAGATAGGATTGCAATAAATGCTGCGTGTTGTAGGCCAATGTGGAAACAAATACTGTTGTTTTTAGAACAGGATTTGAACATGGAACACAGTGAACAGTGAAAAATAAAATGTCACCTACCTGTTCATTGTGAGTACTAACTGTTTGCTGAATGAAATGGGGCCTATGCAGTAAAAAAAGCAGATGATGGTGACTGGTGCTCCTTCATGTGAAGTATGAAGTAGAAGAGTGTAGCAAAGGCAGTCTTCATTCTTGAATTGAAAGTCTAGCTGAGCACGTAGGATTGCAAAGTTGGGACTGTTCTCCACAAAGTCTGGCTGTACTCTAATGGCCATTACTAAATAACTGCTGACTGACATACCTTTCAGAAAGCCTAATTTTTGTTTTATGTGACATAGGAGGTATCCTAATGAGAGGAAAATTAATATTGCTGTAGAGATTAAGGAATCTCTACTGTGATATATGGACAATGTACAGCGTAGTCTGGTCTCAGTGACTACCCAGGGATCTAGTTCGAGTTAATAATCTCGACAGATATAGTCTACTGCACTCCTACAGTATCTATCTGAAATATAAATTTGTGCTTGTTCAAGATGCTTTGTTATGCACTGGAAGAGCTCAGTAATAGTAAAAAAGAAAAAAGATACATATAAATACTGTTAGTATAATGAGTAATTTTGTTTTCTTTTAAAAGGAGTGCTATATTTCCTTTATCATTGAAGTGATTTAAGGTCATTATTCTTCTCTAAATTTTTGACCTAAAAAATAAGCAAGTTTAACTTCTCAGTTATTTTAATAACATGGGATGAGAAGCATTACATAATGTTAATTATTTGCCATGTTAGCCTGGGTGTTTTAGATTTTTTTAGTACTTTTTGTATATTTGGTTCATTTCCCAGGTTCAGAACTTGACATTGCGCAGCCAGAAGTTGGGTGTATTGTCAGGTTCCCAGAATGGCCCACCAAAGAGCAGCAGTCAAACTCAGGCGTTGTCCCTGTGCCCTCCTAAACCTGCAACCAGCAGCAAGGGCAGCCAGCCAGATTCCTCAGAAAGCAATAGGAAAAGCGAGAGCCCAACTCCAGAGTGTCGGAGTACGCCAGTCACGCGGACACCAAGCATACATCAGTTAATAACACCAGGTGGGTAGCTATTAAAAGGTTGCTTTAAAATGTTTTGTCTCTTATGGTTTACAGTGATGGGATACCGATGACTTTGGGGCTCTTAGATAAGCAGTGGGTATTTTTTTTTTTAATATTTGTGGTATTGTAAGTAGTTATCATCTTAATCTCTATGCCACTTTGGGGTTGCGGTGAGTACTTAAGGATACAGGAAAAATACAGAATGGAAAGGTGCAAGAGTAGATCTGGAAAAAGATGTTTCCTGACTTTCTAGAATTATTGCTCTTTAAATGGAGTAAGTTGAGATAAGTTTGCATTTACAAATGGATTCGTGCAACATTTTAGCTTCCATGTTTTCAAAGAGTAAGTGTTTTCTAGACAATTGATCTGATAATTCTGAGGATCTAAGTTGGCTTAACAGCTGCGTTTAGAGAACGAGTAAGAATGAGWGGCAAACAGGCGTTAGTTGCCAAACCCTCACGTTGCTAGAACTTGTTTCTAAAAGGATCAGTCTTTCCTAAGAGAATAAGTAGAAAGACAGGAATGACTTTCTTCTCAAGTGAAAAAGACCAAGCARGAGAAGGCTTGCATGTGGAGCAGAACGTGTGTGTGCCAATACACATGTTTTTGTGCACCCAAATCTCCCCAAGGAATTACTTGGAAGTGGTTCACTCGGAGATGATGTGATATCTCTGGAAGCTGCACTATTTTTAGGGGCATAACTTCCAGTTTGTGTTCAAGTTCAGGCAAATACCTGGAGACGTTTTGATTCTTAGTGAAGTCTTTTGAAAKTTTTCTTAAGAGTCTCTTAAAATCAGATTACTTAAACTCAGCCATTATTTCCACTCCACTCTTTTTCAAAGCAAAGGTTGAATAGAATTCATAACTACTGATTTAGCATTATCTTTTTATTCATCTTAGAACTAACACAAAAAAAATAGGTAATTGTGGATAGTTTTTTATATAAGTGTAAGCAAGCATATGTAAAAAGCGTAGTTTTATTAATTTATTCATTGAAGTTTGCTTTGGAAATTGATGCATTGCTTTCATAAGCTGCTTTTGTGCACTATATCCTCTCAAAGTAGATATTTCTCTATACATACATCCAATTCTCATACCATACATCCAGAGAGCTGAGAAAGTTTTACTGGGCTGGCTTATTTAACTAGATTAAAAACTTCATTTCTCTTAGTATGTTTAGTCTTTCCTGGACTTAGGCAAATACTAACTCTCAGTTTTGTTTTTCTTTTCCCTCACAGCTTCATATTCTCCAATTCAACCTCATTCTTTAGTAAAACATCAGCCGATCCCACTGCATTCGCCACCCTCAAAGATTTCGCATCACCAGCTGATCCTGCAGCAGCAGCAGCAAGTGCAGCCGATTGCACTTCAGACCTCTGGTCAGGACCCGCCTCCGTCCCAGCACTGCCTGCCCGTCCCCAGCCACAGCCTTCCTCCCGCTCCCAGCAGCAGCCAGTCTCAGCACTGCTCGCCCATTCACATCCATCCGCCGCCTCTCACGCTGTCTCCCACGCCGTCCCAGGCAGCTCAGCAGTCGGTAGTGGTGTCTCCTCCGCCTCCTCATTCCCCGAGTCAGTCACCCACAATCATCATCCACCCTCAAGCGCTTATCCAGTCGCAGGCGAGCTCCCTTGTGCCAGCAGCTCTGCAGGCCGAGCAGGCGGCTCCTCAGCAAAGCAGCACGAGTCCGGTTCGACCTGCTGGCCAACCGCTCAACCTGCCCTCGCATCTTCCACTCCCACCTTCCCCAGCTGTGCATATAGCCCCAGCAGAGCAACCCAGCTTAGTTTCCCCAGGCCAGCAGATAGTGCCCTCCACGCCACACCAGCCGTATTCAGCCCTGCCGTCCACACCTATCCCCCTCGCTGCTCCTCCTCAGCTGTCGACGTCTTCAACGCAGATGCAACCACTGCCATTACAGTCCGTGCAGTCTTTACAAGTGCAGCCTGAAATTCTATCCCAGGGCCAAGTTTTGGTTCAAAACACTTTGGTTTCTGAGGAAGAACTTCCTGCTGCAGAGGCTTTGGTCCAGCTGCCGTTTCAGACTCTTCCTCCACCGCAGACAGTTGCGGTGAATCTTCAAGTGCAGCCATCAGTACCAATTGAAACTCCAGTGGTAAGTGCTCAGAAACTTCTTCTAATTTTACTGATAAACTGAGAATAAGAATCCTCTCTTTGGTGCCATCTGTGGCCAGAGATAAGTCAGCCAAAACTATGAAAATGCCCATTCTCTAAAATCTTCACTGCTGGGAAAGCTGATTTTAGCTGTGACAAGGACAGGTGGATGCAATTAGATGTGCAGAAGTCAGGCTTTGGGTGCTGTTTTGGAGGGAATTTTTGTATGATCTTTAGGTTTTTCAATCGCTGTCCCATTCATTCAGTTCAACAATAGTCTCAAGGAGTTCGTCAGAAAATTTTTTTCATGGAAAATTCTGGCTATACTTTCACTGTAAGATAATTTTCTGTGAAATACAGTAAAATGAYCCATAGTTAATGAAAACACGTAAAGTGATATTGCCAGGCTTTAGGARTAATAGGCTAATGAAATGGATGTGAGCTGAAGAATTAACGGTTCTTGTAGACATTTGTTTTCAGAATATCAACAGATTAAGAAAGGTTGTGTACTAATTATTTTTGATGGTATTTAGGAGGTAGTGATAATGCCAACTCTCTGATATTTCATGCAGAAATTATCCAAGAGAATAGAAGAAACCAGGTGTGCTTTTGACAAGGTGATGTTTTAATCCTAATCTGCTAAACAGGTTGTCAGTAAATCTCATTGATTTATTTTTCTAACTTGAGAAAAACACCTTAGCCTATGCACAGATGTCTGATGGTCTTGTCATACTTTCCTGAAATACTCAATTATACTTTTATCTGAGATTAAAAACAGTACAGTGACTTTTAGATCCATGATTAAGAGATACTTGAACTGCAAACTGATCTGTTTCCTGCTTCCAGTTTTGAACTACTAATTTAGAGATGCACAAACTTCATGTGAAACTTTATTCTTCAATATTTAATTGTGAATGCTTTCCCTTAAGGAACAGACCGAGTTATATTAGCTGAGACTTAGGCAGATCTAAACTCTCAAAAACTATCTGTATTTGTATCAGAATACATTTCTGTCAAATCCTTGATAGCGTTATCACATGTGTAATYGAGAAAATCCCTCTTCTTTCCCTTTTTTTCCCTCTGTTAAACTAGAAGAAGAGGGATAGCCCTTTATATACAATACGATACAGAAGGATTATCTTGCTTTCTTTCTCTGGCACTGGTATTTTCCCCAGCATAATYTTGCAGAAGGCCTGCAGTTTCAAAATAGAACTGCATTTTTCTTCAGGATGRTTTTTCCAAGAATTTGTCAGACTGACTAGCAAACGAATATTAAGCAATATTCGTGGAATTGTCAGCTTTGGATAGATCTTAATGGAGAAGATAACTACTGTATCTCTTACACTAGGATCACTTCCATCTCTTTTCTCCAGATCTGTTGCACTAGTTCTGTGACAAGGCATGGGAACACAATATCAGCTTGTGATATATGTTTCATTTTAATTTTCAGATTATRTGATTAACGTCAGGCAGAATTATGAATTTAAAATATGTTATTAAAGAATATAGGTAAATTTCAGTTGGAACCCTTAGTTTAATCCAAAGTTGTCATTATTTTKTAGAGCTTACATTTAGCTGAAGTCTTTAAAGAACAATAAGTGTGTGTGAGTGTGTACAAATAARAATAAACTGTAAAGACATGGAAAAAGTCAATTAATTTCCCTGGACTGATCAATGGAAGAGTTATGCCYGTGTTTTCTAGAATTCTTCTATTTGCAACAAAATAGTTTTGTTTTTGTAGTAATTGTGGTGTCCTCAGAGCTCATTGACTTGTATGCAATTTGGTAAATGTTGTATTTTATTATGAGCTTAGTATATTTTAACACTTCAAYGGATAATTTGTTTAAAAATTATATTTATGCAACTCTTTCAAGGTATTAAGATAGAATGGAAATCTCTCTAAAGCAATAGTTTGTTGGATGCAGATTTACCAAGTGGAGAATGTATGTGAAGAAGAGATGCCCGAGGACTCTGAATGTGCCCGTATGGTTAGAACTCCAACACCCCCGACTCTGTCACCACCAGCCATCACCTTGGGGAATGGAGAGGCAATTAATTCAGAAGAGCCCTTGTCTGGTGAGAACAAATGTAAAATTAAGATAGCGTTTCTGTTTAGAAACTCCTAATAGCCATTTGTATGTTAAAGTAAAATTCTTTTTTTATGTAGTTTAGTAGAATCATTTTTAACTTAAAAAGCTATAAARTATCTTGGAAATTAATACCATATTATCTCTATACCTGAGAATTCTACTTTTCAAAGTACTGATTTCTGTTCTTGACACATGGATTTTGTGATATGAATAGATAATTAAAGACTATACAAGTTTGGTTTTACATTTGTTATGGTTAAGAATGGTTGCAGTTTCGTACTGAGTAAAAGGAAATGTGAACTTGAAAATTGCTTCTCTGCAGAATAGTCTGTTAAGGCAGATCATCTTTCTCAAAGGTGTAAAGCCTATAAGGAATAGAGGAAAAACCTTCTTCATGAGAATCACAGATGCAGAGCTGGAGATGCCTATCACTCTTCTTTCTAGAATACTGAAAGAATGGTGAGAAAAAATTGCAGWGAAAATAAAGTATTTTGTTATTTCTTTCAGAACACGCGGGACTGCCTTCAATGACATCGTCAGTCAGTGCCTCAGTAATTAAATCTCCTTCTGACCCTTCGCATGCCTCTATTCCACCGCCACCTCTCTTGCTTCCAGCAGCAACAACAAGGAGCAACAGCACATCGATGCCCAACAGCATTCCTAGCCTTGAAAACAAACCTCCCCAGGCCATCGTTAAACCACAGATCCTCACCCATGTTATTGAGGGCTTTGTGATCCAGGAGGGGTTAGAGCCATTCCCTGTAAGTTTAAAAGTTGTTAAAATTGTTTTTACTAGTAATTTTTAAAACATTTGTGGCCACCAGTGATTTAGGTCTTTACAATCTAGGTCTCTTGAATAATTTTTCAGACCTTGTGGTTGAACTTTTTGCTGTGGCTGGTAGGTTGTTTCTTGAAGCACTTTGGGGTGCTTGTGTCTTCTTGTATTGTCTTATCACATACACTTGCACATACACTTGCTGATTGCACATACACTTGCTGAGATATTAACTTCTTGTGTAGAATTGATGCTACTGTATGGCTTGCCAGTGTCAATAGATGACAAGATACTATGAATGAATAGTATAACACAGTTGAATACACAGATTATCCGGAGACAGCTACAAATAATTGACTTTACTTGAGATACCTTTGTTTTGTGTTTGCCTGCCTCCTAGGTATCTCAGTAATATCTTAATTTAAACCTCTGTCATGAATCTTTTAGTGCTGCTTTCATGTTAAAACATGGTACTTAAAGCACTGGGAAGTCCCTTGCTGAGAGTGCTGTAATTGGTATTTTATCTGGAAAAATTACACTGCTGAAAACTTTAAATCTGCAAATGGTCAGTTGAAAACCTGTGAGCCTCTTTATTTATTTTTAAATGGTACTTGCTACCTTAAATATCTATCATTAAATTAGTAATTTAATGTATCTCAGTTTTCCTTCATTTCTCTGTTTTTAATGTGGTTTCTTCCTTTGTTACATTTTGATTTCAAGCTTTTCAAAGTAAGAACATGTTCTTGTGTTTGAGAAAATACCCTTTTGCCTTTGGCACTATACAATAATAATTTATTGATAAAGAATGGAAACAGTTTGGCTCAGGTACAGCTARTGAATAGTAATTACTATTTTTCTTATTAATTGTTTGATTAATCATGTTACTTTGCTTTTGTTACAATAGGTAAGTCGTTCATCTTTGCTGGTGGAACAGCCCGCAGAAAAAAGATTGCTAGTGGAGGGTCAGATCATGAGTGTTATGTGTGTTGAATCAGACTTACAGAACACAAAACATGCAGACAACTCATCGGACACTGAGGTAGAGGATATGATTGCAGAAGGTTTGTAGCTTTTGTTTAAATGTCTGTTCTTCCCTTCAGTTGTGTATATTTTACAGAATCCCATCCTGTCTGTTCAAGTGGAATCTATCTGCAGTTCTTCTATCTCCATTAGAAATTATTTTCAAGTATTTGTAGCTAACTACACTAATAACAACTGCTGTAGATGCACATAAATATCAAGAAAATACGTACTTGTCTTCATTAGAATAAAACGCTCTTTAAATGTCTTCATTCAGCTAAAAACATCTTCACAGTTCCTCATGCAGTATCTGACATAGTCATAGTCATGGATTTGTTAGAACCCAGCAATCGAGTTTTTTGGATGTGTTARGCCACTATCATTATTCAAGTCCAACTGTAAATACCCTCATGAATGCATGGAAATTAAGCTTGGCTTTGCCCAAGCTTAATTCAGTTAAGATTCTATAATTCAGAAGTCTTTGTGCCAGCTCTAGGTTTTTGTGTTCTACAGCTTGAGAGTTCACACAGCAGCTGTTCTTGATCTGTTTCAATTTATCAATTTTCAATTTAAGTTCTTAAATTTTCAGTTTAAGTTCTCACTTTAAGTTTACATCTTTTACAATCATTCCTTTCCTTCTTTCACATGCAAACACAGCAGCAGTGRCAGTAACAGTGACTCATACCCAAAATGAGGCTGAAGGGCCGCATTGGGCTAATGGCTGCAAAAGAGCCCTGATTTAGGACAGTGCCTGGAGCAGTAAGAGGCGTTGCTATGTACTGCGCTTCTGTTATTTATATGTTTAAGCATTGTGAATTGTCACCTAGTTAAAATAGTCCATAATATTCCAGTGTTAAAGTGTTAAAATATTACAGATGGTGATACTCTTCTGAACTGCATATAAGTCATGTGCTGCCTAAGTTAYATGCTTCTTGAAGAAGGTGTAGACATTCAGCTCGTGACATGGATGCTTATCTTGTTGCTTTGTAGGGCATTATTCTGACTTTTCTGCTTTTTCTTTCATAGTGTTTCTCTGTCAGCAGGTGTTTTAAGTTCTCCACAGAGAGTAGGAAAAATACCATCCCATCTCACAAATGCAAAACCAGTCTGTAACAGTAGACTGTAAACTGATCAGATGCTATAATCTGCTCTTGCATGCATGAGGGAGTAGTGAGTTAAATCCAGTTTCACTTAAAAGGCTCTTAAAASTCAACTTTTTTCCCATTTTCTGGTTCTGTTTTTTCCCATTCTGGTCAGAATGGTTCCTATTCTGAGATTAACTTTGTGTCATTGCTTTCTTTAGAGGGTCTAGATGAAATTGAAAATGAACTTCTGAAGTGCGAATTTTGTGGAAAAATGGGATATCCTAATAAGTTCTTACGGTCAAAACGWTTCTGCTCCACRTCCTGTGCCAAAAGGTACTCTGCCKTGTTGTTGTTTCACTCTTACTGTTTATCACTGCCTGGTTAGTGAAATAGTACCCAAATAGTACCTGGTATTGAAAAGTARGTACACAGTGAAAAATGAGATTGCCTTCTGCCCACATTTCCTCAATCTGTAGGTAGAGGGAATATCGCATGTTTCAGGAAGGGCCAATTCCTTTTGTTTGCCTTCCTATGAATTGCAGTTAAGCTGTGGTGCTGTTTACTCAGGGGCTGTTGATGCGGTTGGGTAATGGGGACGCTGCGATCATAGAAGAGAAATCCCCAAGGAGACGCTCAGTGTTTGGAAATGATCTTTGGCTCAATGTCCATGAGCTGCAAATCACTTTCTCTGTCATATTCACATTCTCTTCCTGCTGATGTTAAGCATTGACAGAGCAAAGGTACAGGCTAGATGGGCTTTCCTATGCTTTTGTGCTGTGCTGGAGAAAGCTCTGAGTTATCTTAGCCYGGCTAAAATAATCGGTAGTTGTTTTTAGTAACATAGTATAAAAGTAATTATTTGCAGGGAGTAAAATAGAAATATTTATAAGCATGCATAATTTAGTATTTTTTTAAGCTGATTCTTTCTTGGAAAAAAAAACAGCCATCTGCTCCTATGTGGTTAACAGAGGAAAATGGTTTCTGGTTTCTTTTTTGAGGTTTAATATGCTTTTCATTTTGTGTTGGTTGGTTAAAAGAACAAATCAAAATCAACGTCTAGATTTAAGATCTTCTATTATTACAACTGTTATGGAAATATGCTGATATTTAATCCCAAAYGTTTTATTAAATGACCTTATATGAGGAATAGTTTCCCCCTTTCTCATCACTACTTAGTTCTTTTTGCATCAGTGTGTCTGGAAACAGTCTGTCTTCTGTCTGCTCCTCTTTTGGTTCCTGGTGTGAGACATTCAAATTTTAACTAGTGGGAATGTATGTATTTTATTTAGTACCTGTTGGGATACTATTAGTGAAACAGTCTTAAGAGGGAAATTGGCTGCTTTGCCTCCATCCTTATTTGACTGTAATCACCAGGTGGAGGAAGATGGAAGCAAAAGACATAAAATGACTTAAGGCTTTTAGAGGAGGTTTTAGAGAGGCAGGATTGGAATATGTGATTCAATCCTGTGACACTTTTAGGAACAGGATAGACAAACATGTTCAGGAGTGAATCTAGATAATCTTATATCAAGRCAAAGGGTTGGAAAAAATGACCTTGTATTCCTGACGTTGCCTTTCATTAGGCAACAGCTGGTTAGACAAGTGTCGTTTTATTGCTAAGTTGATTGAATTTGTGCAGAAAAAGAAGTATTGATGCAGTATTGACTATCCCTTGCTTCCTTAGGCACAGCCTTAGTTGCACTAAGAAGTACGGGCTGTACGCGTCGGACAAGAGCAGCCGCTGGAATCGCAAATCAGAGAGCCAGAGCCTTGGGCGGCGCGGGCGGCGACCGAGCGGCCCCGACGGGGCCTCGCGGGATCCCTTTCTTAGACAGGTCTGTGCAATATTTGCTTAGAACTATGGCACTCTCTGAGGAATTACAAATAAAGTGTAATACTGTAGCGTATTTGTACTACGTTTTCCAGCTTCCAATTACTTATCCATCTGCAGAAGAAGATACGGCTTCTCATGAGGATACTGTTCCAACTGCCATGACCACCCGTCTGCGAAGGCAAAGTGAAAGAGAGAGAGAACGTGAACTTAGGGAACTAAGAATTAGGAAAATGCCAGAGAGCATTGACCTGCTGCCAGTGGTGCAAAACGACCCGTCCGTGTGGACTGTTGATGAAGTCTGGGCCTTCATACATTCTTTGCCTGGTATGTAATGTGAAATAGGTTGTTCTCTGTTTGCAGTAGAGCTCCTTGCCTTTTAGCATCACTGCGAGGAAGAGGTGGTGTGGTAACAGCACTGGTGTAGTCACTGGTTGGTGGCAGAGGTCACAATATGATTTATCTCCTTTTGCTTGTTCCTTCAGCATAAATCCCATGCTGATAAACTAATCCCTCTTCTGCTGTTGCACCCCAGCTGATGGAGACTAAAGGTGTTCTTTAGTAAGGAATAATTACAAGCAGGAATGGAAAGTGGAGCTCAGATGTGCTTGAAAGACTCTTGAGACAGAAGAAGATGCCAAAAGGTTGAGAACACACGTCTAGTAAAAACAGAAAGCACATTGCTGTGAGACTGAAGAAGATTGAGATAAGCAGTTGCTTATCAAGTGCTCACTCTTGAGATGTTAGAAAATAGACATCCATGTAAAAGGGCTGCTGTGCATCTCAGCATAACCGACTGGTCCAGCGTTAATGGAACGTTGCTTGAGGGTCTTCTGCCCCCCTTACTGTTCTTCAGTGAAAAGGGCCTTGAGTAAATTGGGACAGTTTGACCCAAAATTTCTCATTAAAAAAAGGAGTCACTTTGAAGTTGTGCTTGTCAAGCGAGTTATTGCTGGAAGTGGCCTGTTCACTTATGTAATTGATACAGCCTTAGTGAGACAATTCTGCTAACCCCCAAACCCCAGTTTCTGTGTATCTGACCAGTATTGGTTATATATGGCTGGAACGAACAGCTTTTTGAAACTGTGGAGCAATTTTCTCTTGGAATTGTACCTAACAATGTATATATGCATAATAACACACAATTTTTTCTTGCTGAAAAGAATCTAGGTGAATGATGCTTTTACTTGATTGCTATTTCTGTGGTATTTTGCCTGTCTCTTCCAGTTTTGAAGTCATGGCAATTATTCCTCTTAACAAAATAAGGAAATTGTTTACTCAGGTACTTGGAATGATGAGTGATTCTCCTACATTTTTAGTGTTAGTAGAAACAGTAGTAAAGATGATTTTCAGATCATCTCATAAGTTACCATATTATCATCACATTATTGAACTCTTGCATATATTACAGCTTCCACAAGCAAAGGGTGCAAGCAATGGGAATTTTTACRTAACACTGCATGTTTGTAACCTACTCATTCTTCTTTGTATTCCCTTGCAGGTTGTCAAGATATTGCAGATGAATTTAGAGCACAAGAAATTGATGGACAAGCTCTCCTCTTGCTGAAGGAGGATCACCTTATGAGTGCAATGAATATTAAGCTTGGGCCTGCATTGAAAATTTGTGCACGTATCAATTCATTGAAGGAATCCTAGGGGGAACATGAAGGCTTAAATGTCAGTTTTCTGTGACAGAACCAACAATAACATGCCGACATCTTCACCATGGCCTGAGTATTACTGGGATGCTTTCTTGAAGATATGGAGTTTTCCCCACGTAAAAATTTAAAAATATTCCTYTGGTTGTACCATATAGTTCTCCATGATTCCCACAATTAATAGGGTCATGGTAAAGCTTGAGTAATACTTGGAGTTAAAGTGGGAGTTCATGGAAAAACCTGAACAGAAACATGATGTGGTAAGTTAAATATTCCCCAACATGTACTTACCGTACAAGTTTAGCACCCCCAGTCTAAACACAATTTCAACTAGGTTGCTGTATTCTGAAAGACATTTTTTTCCATGTATACAGCAGTTCTTGGACTGAAATAACAGAAGTGTCCACAGATGCTGTGGAAGCACTGATAATTGTAAAATGCTATGCATTTAGTTGTGCTCTCTGAGTTTCTTTTAGTCTTGAGCAAATTGTTTGAAGGAATAGGTTGGCAGCCTCTTTTTTCATGTGTAGACTTATCCTCATCACTGCCACTGTAGTATTTACTTTTAAGTCTGGAAATACTAGACTGTTCAGGGGCCTCATGGAAATCCTTGCTGTCAGGCTACTGAAATGCAATGGCTTGGCACTCTTGCCAGAGGTAACTGAAGCACATGTGTTACTTCACTCTTTGTATGCTGCTATGCACTAAGAGGGCATTAAGTTATTAGTTTTGCTTGCTGCTAGTTAAACTAGACCAGCAGTTCTTAAATGGGGGCTCAGAGTGGATCCTGAGAGGGTGCGAGAGCACTCAGGGTTCGGGTTCCCAAATGCTTGGGAATGAGGGGTGAAAACTGCAACCCCAGCTAGCTCTAAGAACTGGAGACAAAGAGAAATGGTATCACAGCGCAGTGTTTTTTTCCTTCCAGACCTTTTTTCATACCACTTCATTTTTCAAACTGTCACTGCAGTTTATCTTTTGCCCACTGGCTAATGTGAGCTGGGGTTGCAGTTGTCAGAGGGAGGAGCATGATGAGGAGCTCAGTGAGGTCCCATCAAAGCTCAGCAGAGAGAAAGTGCTGCTGCTGTCGAGGGAGCCTGGACCTTACATGGGTACAAGAGTGGCAGAGCCAGGCAGCCCTGCGAGAGCTCCCCAGAGACCTTCTTTCTSTGCCTTGGGCTGTCACTGGGACCCAGGTGGTACTTCCCTATCTGTCTTCACCCTCTCCCCCTGTGCAGAAAAGGTACTTGTCCTTCGAGACGCCCTCAGATGCTGCTTGGGCTCTGAGGCAGCAGACTTTTCCCAGCCATTACTTCCCCATCCCCTGTGTATGGATGTGTGTGGGTGTATTCTTTGCCTTCTGCTCCCTTCCTTTTGCAGGTACAGCCCTGAATTCCCATGCCCTTGTATAAGGCAAGAAAAGTATGTGTGTTGATGGAGTTACTATGTATACTTAAATGAAATATATGTACATGAGTCTGCAAATAAGTGTTTTATGCAGCTCAGCGCAAAGATTCAAGTTTTATAATGAGGTACGCAGTGGGACCTCTAAATTATTCCTGCAAAGAGGAGGAACTTTATCTAAGAGTTTGAGAACTGCTGGTTTAGTTCAAAAGGAGTCAATGCACATATGCAGACTGAAAGGAAGGACTGTCACAGGTAGCTTGATAAGTGTATTGCTTAAGTGATGTCCTTAAAGAGTAAGTTGGGATTGCGAAAGAATCTGTGCTTCGTTTTCCTTTAATAGACTATCACTTTATTAAGACTTCCTACCAATAACTTCCAGAGATCAACAGCAGAATCACTGCTTTTAATTGCAGCTGCTTGAGCTTATTAATAGAGAATGAATATTTTTATCAACCACTGAAGCTGCAGGTTAGGACTACCCATTGCCTGATAATGTGTAGTGAGGGTCATAGTCTGGCACCAATTAGTTGATATCTGGGTTTATTTTGGAGGGAAGTTGAGGAGCACTTTGCATTCTTGTTACCTCTATCTTCARTTGGTGTTGTCAAACAAATTTATTTGAAGGTTCGGTGTTTGGCAGTGTTCATTTGGAAGATACCCAAATAATGGAGAGGGTAGGTTCTCATTTGTAGCATTTCTGTAAAATACACTGTGTAGCATATCTGTAACATATGTTTTAGAGGATACCTTTGGTTTTGATGAGCTGATAGAAGACTAAAGATATCTTAGATATTTATCCTTTGGCTTTTGTCTTAAAGTTTTATTATTTTTATACAAAAATATCACTGGGTAATTTTTAATCTGTTTTCTGATCTTATTGTTCTTTGGCATTGTAAAAAGTAGGTATATTTAAATGTGAATTGATAATGGCTTAAGGCATATTTGAAAATGTGGACTTATGTTGTGCGTCTTACCTAGACCTGCAGTTAATCACAGTGGTGTTACATGCATGTTAACTTCAAGATCATTTCAATATTGGTATTTACCTTTCAGGAGAAGTTTTGCAGCTAGTGTTTTTATATGAGTGTCAAACTAATTACTGACAGATGCCAGGAGCTCAGAGTAGGCCTCATTAATGCACATGTTTTGTTTAGTTCTTACATTACACTACGTTTTCTGTGATTTTTGGAGAGCCTCACCTAGTGAGTTATGCTTTACATATTCATGAATACAGCAACTGAGAATGTGGGCCTTGGGCATATTGAAATTTTTCTGTTAAACTACTTAGGCATCAAATAGGAACCTAGGTACAACTGTGCTAGCCTATATTGATAGAAATGCACACGTACTAGAGTTTTTCCTAGTGTAACTGTGTCAATATTCCACATATGCACATAAAAGTAGATTGAAAAACTTTTGAGTGCAAATAAGGTCTATTTCAGAAGCCCTTGAATTTACTCAAAAAAGCAATACAGTAAAAATGGGATAAAATTCCTTCAGAACAGATTTGTGTATCAGTCACTTGTTGCTGTTCAAATCAGTGAGGTTTTGCCAGGCTTATACTGAAAATTTTCATGGCCTTCTCCACAAATTAAACTAGACTGTACTCCAAAAGAAGCAGTATTGTTGATTTTAGTTTTACTTTGTAACGTACCCACTAGATTGGTCTGCAACAACTCCCTTTCATTATCTGTATTTCCCAGTGCTTTTTATTGTGTCTTTAGACTGCTGGTGCTTTGTGTCACATCTTGCAGATATATTTCAGCTCCTGTAGGAAGGAATACAGGACACCATGGGATCTTAGCTCAGACAGGATATATTTTGGGTGGCTTTTTTCTTTCCCTTTCATTAAAAAATTCCTCTAACCTCACTAATCTCTCTCTTTCCTTACTAAGGTAAATTCAGTATTAACTCAGGACAGCCCTCTCCGACAGGGTACCAGGCTGAGTGTGACTGTCAACATTTTTTTTTTTTCCAGTACAGTTAAAGCTATTACASTTGTCTGAACAGGTATAGTTGTTATCAGAGTTTTTTTCTGGATTGTTTTAAATAAATATTCCTAAATGCTTCGAGTGTGTATGCAAATCTCCTACTTAATCTGGCTCATACCTCTCAGCAAGCCTGCCTTGGAGAAGGAATAAACAGAATGGTCCTGGGAAGGAATGAGGCCACCTCTGTTGACTAGAGCTCCCTGGGAGCTCCGACTGCTCCTTGTTCAAAAACAAGTGTTGATAATGAACTGCTGGCCTCCCCCTGCCAGCCCATATTGCCTCACTTTSATAGGTCTTTACATTCCCCTGCTTATAGATAGAATAAAATAATAATCTCCTCATCAAGTTAAACTGTTGGTTGCCTTGGTTTGTCCGAGAGTGATTGTAGTGTTTTTAAACAGAGTGCACTGCAAATCTGGTCTTCGTCCACTATTTTTTTTTAACTGAATTTCTCAATGGAGAATAAAATTTTTGCTTGTGTCAGTAGCTGCCTCAAGCAGGAGACTTATATTCTGTGAGCATGCGTTTCCCCAGTCCTTTCCAATAAGAGCAGGTTTTTTCTTCCATTGCTGCTTTTTGAACAAATTAACAAACAAGTGGGAATCTCATCTTTTGGGCAGAACAGATCAGTCCCTCATAAATGCAGATAAGACAGTGAGAGAAAAGAAATAGAATTGAAATAAGTATGCAGGTTTTTAATTGAATTGCTTCTTTTTTTCATCTTGATCTTAGCTATAAGAGAATATTGGCTTTAAACTTTCTTAACTATAGTTTGAAGTTAATGAGACGTGGTAGCTATAGAGAATCACTGCCTGGCATATTGGTTAAAGCTGCTGCCTATTTCAGATGCTGTCATTTTAGTACCACAGTGCTGCTACAGAAACTTGCAGCTCAGTAGCCTAAGAATTTTTCTACACGTTGACCTATTGAATAACTCTAGGTATTCAAAGAATTCACTGAGAGCTTGTGCTGTGAGTTGTAGTCTTGAAAATAATTAGCAACCTACATAATTTGAAACATGAGGAGTTCTCCTTACTGTACTGGGACTATTTATGCTTCAAATTAGGCATGTATGTGAAAGCTTGCAGGTTTAGCTTACAGTATTACTTACAGATTTCCTGTTAGGATGTATTTAGAAATACAGTTGTTACCCACTAGCCAGTCTTTTTCTCACTGATCTAGGCTGCAGATAACTGGGACAGTCTTGTTGGGATACTTATCTTTACACGAAAATTAGTCTATTGGAGATGGAAAGAAATACTTGAACATATTTTGTTTTAAGTATTCTGCTTCTGTTCAATGTCAAATGGAAACAGGATGCATGGAACAAATGGAGGTTTAAATGCCTAATTTGTGTTATTAATTGCTCATCAATTAATTTTTAAGTCACTTTGAACAAAGAGGTATAGTATCAGACAGGAAATATTGTAAAGACAAAGTATGCAAAGGAAATTTAGAATCATGTAATGCTTAACTTAGCTTAAATAAGCTTAAATTAAACTCATTTTAAGTTAACTAGGCTTTATTCATAGGAATTTAGTTAGACTCCAAAGGTCCTCTTTAGCTATATCCACTGGATTGCTTTGAAGGCAGTAATATTAAAAAGAAATGATGATACAAATAAGTGCCTGCTGTCAAGATACCATGTCCATTTCCTTATCAGAAAGCTTTCCCCAGCATATGTATGAACAGTCTGAATCCTTCTGTGGGCGTCTGGGACATTTCCTGGTTACRAAAGCAGTTAGGACACATGCAGCAAAGGAATCCTTTGCTGTGGCAATACTTCCAACCATGCTAAGTAGGTTGGAAGTGTTGACATGCCAGTTACATAAGGTAACTGCATTATTGACAGTGCATGTAAGACAGGCTGGTTTTTTTTAATCACCTTGCTAATTTAGGCCGAGCTGTGATGTGCTGTTTTCTTCTCCATAAAGATTTCTAAATGTGCTTTTTGCACTGCGAATGTCACCTGTGTTGGCTGGAGTAATTTGTGTAGTACTTGTGTTCTGGGTCTTGTGGTTAGAAATTCCACATTTATTCAAGGCCCTTATCCTGAGCTGCATGTAAATTTGTGCAACCTACACTGTTACTTCTTCGCACATCCTCACTCCCTCAGATTTTGTGTATTATTTACTGATATCATATGGCTAAATAGAAAGAAGAAACAAAATTCAAAGAGGGAATATAAAATATGCTTATAATTGAAGGTGTGTAGCAAGCTTGTAGCCTAATTGTTGGAGCTGTTGGTGCTCCRAAGCACAATTCCGGCAATCAGTGTTATGAATAAATTTCAAGTTAAAATTTCTAAACAAACTTAAGCATATATTTAACTTTCTACTGAATTATCCAAAGTGATAAGTGTAAGGATCTGGAAGATGATGCAAAGAATTCTTTTCCATCCGCAAAGAACTGTAATTTGAGCACAACTGTACATTCATAGAATAAGAACCATAAGGATCAAAAATATCATGAAAGTGCAATGGATAATGTTTAAGGAGTATTTCAATTGTGCAGAAAAAAATACTGTATTGCTACTTAGGATTGTTGAAAGGATTATAGCGTTCTTAATAGATACTACCAAATCAGGGTATCTTTATTGATGATGGAATTAGGCTAGAAGCACAAATATAGTTGACATGTGAAGCATATCTCTTTTGTGGGTGAAATCAGGTCAACCCCTGAGCAGTCTTGTGTTGGTTTCTGCTGCCTGGTATGTGGGTTAGGAGCAGGTATATCGATGTTCTCTGCCAGAGTTAAAAAAAAAAAAATGTTTATAGAGGCAGTTTCTCTTTCAAGTGTTTTGTGATAGACTTAGTGAACTGATACAGATCATGAAAGATGAAGGGTGGTATAAGAAGAATGAAGGATTTTATTAATGAGTGCCAAATACTTTCATTTAGGGTTAAATGCGTACAAAATAGCTCATAAAAATCATTTTTTTTTTTTCCTCTCCTTTTAGGGTATTATGAGATAAGAAGAGTACAGAAGTTTATCATTAAGGGCTGATACTTTAACTCTCATGGTATTGTTTGATGTTCGTGGTAACAACGGCTAAAAGACTGCAAAATATTGGATAGGCTTGAGGCTGTTAATGCACAGCACAAGATACAACGTATAGAGGAGATAAAGCTGTAGTTGTGTGKAGTTGTTACCATTTCAGATATTTCCACCTTCGTAGAGCATAGTTTCTCTTCCCTTTGAGGACAGCAGTGAATTTACAGTCTAGTTCTGCAGCACAGCTGAGCGTGGTTGTGTTACCAGACCAAATATCAGTGTTACAATGTCTCRGAATCGCCAGATAAAATAAGGTACAAAAAGAGCAAAAAACTTTGTCCACTAGGCGGATAATAGGATACAGATGACTTCTCAACTGGATCTGGTACCTTAGATAAAAGGTCAAGGATAAAAATGGTCTTTTTTAAATACTAGAAGGCTAGTATTTACATATTTTAAAATAGCCACCAGCCTAAGAATCCAAGGTTGGAGGCTAAATGAAAACCTGCAGTGCCACAATTATCTGCTTGCTAGCTGTAATGGCAGACAAAGGGTTGGTGTTTTTGACACCTTTTTCCAAAGTGTATGGGAGAATGCGATGTGACGTGAGCAAGTATTGTTCAAAAGTATTATTTTGCTTGCATGTTGTGGCCTCCGTATAAGAATACAATCTCAAAATTTAAAATGTCTTAAGAAGGACTGCAACAACTAGAGGAACTCGAGCACCTCAGGATAAATAGGAGTGTGTAAAATTACTTATGTTTTAAGAAACTGAATCATATTGTTAAATATATCAACAATCTAATACAACTGCTTAAAAAATTCCATTCCATATGCATTAATGAATATGAAAGATGAGACTTACCACATGAAACAAACATCTAAAATCTATCCACGTTCTTGAGAATAATTTTATCTGTTAAGTTTGAAATTAGGTATTTTCACCTTTCTCTTTAGTGGTTAATTCAGAATCTTCTCCAATGCCTGGTGCATTAATATATTGGAGTTATTTGCTGTTTTTTAAATGAAATTAGGTTTTGTAAATATTGTCAGCCCAATTTCAGTGGGTATTCAATTTATATAAATATGAAGAAATGCTGTACCCAGAAGTGTGTTTATTCTACAGTGTCTCAAGCACTAAACAGCAGCAGTTACAAACTGAGAGCAGGGGTCTATAGATTAAGATTGTTTTTCAAATTTAACATTGTACATGTTTTCCTCCTTTTTAGATGGATGTAGTATTGTTTCTCAAAACACTTTATTCAGCATAAGGGATGAAATTTGTGGTGCCAAACATTTCAGGTCATGTTGTTATGTACTGCCTCCTCTTATTGCACTAGTTTTAAAATAATTATTGATAATTTACTGACATTTTTATTGACTTTTTTAGTAGGTTTCCCCAAGTTGTTTTCTACTGTTTTGAAAATGTTCATCTCCTTTTTGTTACATCCCTAAAATAGTGTTAATGAAACCTCAAAGAAATTTATGACACACTGTGGATGACAGAAGCACTATGTGGGGTGAAGTAATAAAGTGATAATTGGAATTTGATATATTGCAGAAATGTAAAATTAATATATGAGATATGATTGTGCATTCTTATCATGGAGTACTATACTGGAATATTTTATAAGAAATTTTAGCATACTTAGCATTAAGTTCTTCAATTAGATCTGTCCATAATTGATATATAATGTAAAACGGCAACCTAAAATAACTTAAATTTTACAGTTAAAGAGCACACGGTGAACTATGTAAAATATCTTCACTTTGTGAACATTTTTTGTTTAAAAAAAGCACTTTCCTATTACCAACTAGCATGTGAATGAATTTTAGATTCTCAGTTGTTATGATCTGTAGAAGTGAGATTTCTTTAATCTGTCTGTTAATGGATAAACTGATTATACAAATGCTGAAACAAAGCACCTTATATTATGCTGCTTAAACTTGCTTGTAATTGCACCTTTTGTTATCTGCATATTTTTCTTAAGGAGTATTCTTGTGTGATACCATTGTTCCCTGTGGGTCTGAGTGAATGATTAACCAACCTACAGCATCATTTACTTACAGTTTATATTTCAATACAACATTGTATTGTGAGTTCAGTGCTTCAGAAATAAATGCAACTTCCCTTTGTCTAGTTCAGTGGTATATCATTTATTTGTCTTCCATCAATTAAAACAGCCTTATAAAACTATAGGAACTTTGAAACTAATAAGTAGTTCTGTTAGTTTGGTCCCAAACTAAATTCTGTTCAAGTGTAACCCCTTCATTAGTCTTTGGTATTAGCCTTTGAAGTGCACATCTGCCAGGAAAAGGAATTCAATTGAACTGTTCATGTATTAAAAGCACATCTCTATTTTCTTTAGTGTTAGCCCAACTGCTGCCAAACAAACTCTACTGTCTGTGGACAGTAATGTATTTAATCTTAATACATATGTATACATAACATAGAATAGCAGTAGCAAAGACATAATAAAACATCACCCTCTTTAACTGTAACTCCTATATATCTTACAATATTTTTGGTAATTTGTAAACAAAGCTTGCATTTATAGGTTTATATTAACTAAAACACCCTTCTTCCCCCCACCACCACCATTAAAACGTTCAAGAAAATATAATTTAAATCAAACCATGAAAAGTCGCACTTGAACAAGGAAAGACCCTTAACAAGAAAGGACACTTCTGAAGTCACAGAACTTGTTTGAGCCTTTGACAGTAGGTAACACTTAAACATACCTGGTAAGGTCTCCAGCTTACAAAACTTTATTGCATTTTATACTATAAAACCTGAGATTGTTTAAAACGGATGGAGTTCAGTAAGAAAGTTCAACTGAAATTTTGAAGTAGAATCTCTTTTTAAATCCAGGCTCTTTAGCATGCACCAAGCATCTGCTGRTTCAATAACTAATGTGGAAAGGTGCAGTATCTTGCATTACAGTGCAATACTCATTACACCAGCAGTGTTAGACTTTCCAGACACTGTAGCTCTAGAGTGTTTCTTTTTATTATCCAGAAGGATGTGGAATGTCAGAGCACTAAACACCTCCGTTGTACAGCACTTATTTGCAGTCTTTTTAGTCAGCTCATTAACAGATTACAATTACTGTGCCTGGCTTTTCAGCTGGCTCTGTATTTTCATTGTTAAATGGTGTAAAGCAGAATTTCCAGCTGACAAATGGATCTGTTGACCACATTTCCTCTGTCAATTCAACATCATGACACCGACACCAGTACGCCCCTGCAATAAGAAAGCTGTTGATGAAGTACAGCCAGGGAACGTTCATCTCCATGTAGGCTGGAATCTGAGCACCAAGAGACAAAATGATAATTTGAAGAAGAACAAAGGGTGCCCACGTGCCAAGGAAACAGATGAGAAGCCTGGCCAGAAGCTGCTGCCTCCAGCAAGCGTTGTCATCAGATGAATACAGGAACATCAGAACAGGCTGACCGACGAAGGAAACCACCCTGCCAGACAGCAGCATTGTGAAAACATCTTTCCAGCAAGCCAGAAGAGCCATGCCCRTGAGAAGTAGCACGGCAAGGGAGACGGAGTAGCTTTGCATGCTAACATAGGAAGGACATTGGAAAGGAGAAAACTGTGTCTGAATTTCTAGTTCTTCAGAAATAGCAGGGACTTTCAGAATACAAGAAAACCCTAAAATCCACAGAAACAACACAACAGCTACATAAAATAATCTTTGACCTCTTTTAGGAGGCTGAGATGCTTGTGCTATAGTCACATAATAATCCAGACCAGCCACAAAGTATACAGGGTAATGCAAAATTCCATAGGTAAGAGAAATTATCTGCGTRAACAGGCAGATGTGGTATTTGGTAAATCTTACACCCCAAAGTGCAAAGTCCTCAAAATAGAAAATGAAAGCTATACTCAGCAGCAGCGCAAAATCAAGAAGTGCCAGCGAAACACAGAAGTATCCCATAAAACTAATTTTCACATTTTCCTGTTTAACTCGCAGTATGAAGAGATTGAGGGACACTTTTCCGAGCATAATAAGCAACAACATGCAGCTGATTTCAACAGGTTGGTTGACCTGTGTATAGTGGTACCAACCAGAACAGTTTTCACAGAGTATGGCAGCCATCCTCCAGTGATGAGAACCAGCAAAAGAAATATTACAGGGTACGGTGCTTCATCTCTGAAAAAGAAAATTTAAGAGAGATTTATACCTAGGGTACTCCTATCAAGGAGTTATTCTCCATCACAGTAACTACCTCACAATTTTCCAGGCTCCTAATTTAAGAGTGAAAAGCTTCACTAAAAGACCATTAAGCTGACAAGAACTTCCTAAAAACAAAATAGAAGTCAACACATGCTTAAATTACTCTGTCCACTTTCCTAAGGAAGCAAGGTTTAAGGAAATGCTGACTGTGTCCCTTTCCTTTAGGAGGCATGGGATTCTTTTGGTCAAGTTGGGCAGAGAGTTGGACATTTCAAAGTAGTTCCTATATATTTTGAGGAAGTGGGTTAACTACCTAGCAGACAGAAACTGCTTGCGATGGAGACCAGTTCATGTATGCCACCTATTTACTATGGTTATAGAATCTATATGGAATTGAGATTGCAGAAGTAGCCCAAAGGCAGAAAAAGCAAAAAGCTACTGTCTCATTTGTCATGCCAAGCATCTTCATTTCAGGATATCAAAACTGTGAATGCAGCACTGGGGACAAGTATTGCACATGTCTGTAAATTAAATAACCTATGCAGATGGATAGGGCATGCTTGTGGGGCCAGAATCTAGATTAGTTTTAGGCGGATGTTTCATTTTTAAACATGATGAGGATCTGGCTTCCTAAATAACAACACAGAACTCAGATGAAAGTTTCTTGCAGAACCATCCTACCTAGCAATAGTCTTGCTGGGAAAAGCAACCCTTTTAGTTGCTAAAAATCGTGCAACTTGGGCTCCAAAGTAAACAAGCTTCATTAGCTGACTACATTTTTTGTTCTCCTTTTAATAATTTAAATATTGCGAAAGATAATCCCTCAGAAGAGCTGTCCTTCCCTTTGGACTCTTTTCCATGTGCTAACTCCCAAGTGATCGGATAGCTTTAGGTAGGTCAGCATGATGCACTAAAGAGAACCAAAAAAAAAAAAAAAAAAAAAAAGAACCCAAATCCTGTTTCCCCAAAGAAAGGGGAACAGGATTATAGTGGCTATATAGTATATGTTGTAGTGCCTCTATTTAAAGGCAGGAATTAGTGCAGAGCATTAAACTCACTCCCACTTTTAACTCCCAGCAGGTCTACAAAACCAGCAACTGTTACTTTGCTTACAGTTCTATTTCCCCCTCACACCCTTTTTTGCAAAGAAGTTACTTATTACTTCTGTGTTTTGCTTGGGACAGGGGAGGAATTCGGCAGAAGAAAAAATTAAGTCCTAGCAGCAAACTTAGTCTGAAATGGCAGGTATCACCTGTGCTAAAGCCTAGTGCAGGGACTCACGTGAGGCCTCTTATAGAAAAACAGAATATATGCAAAACCACTCCTCAAAATTAATAATATAACTAGACCTCTGGGAGCTAAATTTGAAGAAAATGGAAAATAAGAAATGGTGCAAGTAATCTCAACAACAGCAATGAAGAAAAAAACTTAAGGTGTCTATAAGAAACAGCAGCCTCTTGTGATATGCTGAGTATGATTGCTTTGTATTTAAATCAACATTTTAGTAGTAGCTTATCTGAGTTAAATGTTCTTGAGGCATTTTCTGAAAAGTGGAAAGGAGCAGTTAAGAGCACTTTGCAGTATCTCCTGCAACTTAGTATGTGCCCACGAGCTACCAATGAGCAGCGTAACAAGCCCTCGGAGCCTTGAGGTTTCACTTGTCACCTGCACGCATGCGTTTCATCCTCAAAAACCTTTGAATATGCTTTTCAGTACAACTTAAAATAACCACCTTTTGCCTTCCACGCGCACTTAGTCTTCCTACAGCGGACGCTGCATTTGCATGTTTCAGACTGGAGAAACCCTGAGGTGAAAACAGCCTGGCTCACACCRCATCAGCGACGGTTTTAATCCATTCGCACGAGTGTAATGCGGAGCAACCTGTACGATCTCTCATGTGCCGGGGAGAGGCCTGAGCTAAGGCAGCAGTATCGGTGACACCAGCGCGGGACATTGCTCGCTCCTTGCGCCCAACGCGCGCGCTTACCTGCGCTTCCTCCACTGGCAGCCACCGTCCTGTCCCTTCAAGCCATGGTGCTGGCACGTGAGTGGCAACAAGTCTCCCAGGAGCTCACTGCAGGGTGAAANNAGGCGAAAACACACTAAAAGTAAAAAACTAAAGTAAATTCCCCACACTCAGCATCACCAGTTAAAAAATTAAAAATAAGAAAATAATATAAATAAAAAGCGGAGCCTGCGCACAAAAGGCTCCGCGTTGCTCCGAGCCGCCCTGGCGCGCGGGGGCCCGGACCCACCTGCTGCGGCCGGCGGCGGGGCGCGGGGCGGGCAGCGCGCGGCGGGTCCCCCGCGCGGCCGCCTCAGCCGCCCGCCGTGCCCTCCCTTCCCCATGGCGCGGGCGAGACACCGAGCCGAGCGGAGCGGAGCAGCGCCCTTCGCCTCCGCGCGGAGCCGGCCCGGCCGCTCCAGCCGCGCTGCGCTGCTGCGGCGCCTCCCGCTAGCGGCCACCCCTCCCCCCGCGCGGGGCTTCAAGTGGAGCCGTTGGCAACGGCCGCGCGGCGGCGGTTAAACGGCTGCGCGCGGCGGCCTCGCCCTGCAGGTGAAGGCGGCGGCTGCTCCGTGACGCCGCCATGGCGCCGGGCTGCTCCCGTGGCGTCGCCGCCTAAATCCGCCCTGGAAGCGACTCCCAAACGCTTAGGAGGAGCCTGTCCGCACCGAGCAGCGCCTGCTCGCCTGTCCCCTCGGGGGCCTTTTGMACCGCGAGGCGCTTTGGTTTAAAAACTACACGTCCATGTTCCCCCCTCACCAATACCCTATGTTTATTCTCTTCCAAAGRGAGCCTCGTAATTAACCATAAACTCCATGCAGGTAATAATAGTGTTAAAGGGTTGGACTGTAAGCGCTAGAGGAGGTTTTGTGGTGAACACCATGGCAAAATGTTTGCTTATTTGTTTATTTTATATAAATAGCTTGCTATCAGATTTCTCACTCTTCAAARTCTTTAGCAGTTTAGAAATGTTCAGGAAGAAAGTTAGAAAATACATGCAACTCATTTTTAAAATAACAGCTTAAAAATAGTTATTCCTGCAGGTATAATTCAAAGCCTTTTAAATGTGTTGGCTTTTTAGCTTGGGCATCCTATAAGTATCTACTTAATATTTTTGTTAAAAAAAAAAAACAGTAACAGTAGAGTTTCTCTCCTTTTCTTAGATAAAACCACTAACTTTTTTTTTTCCCACTTGCTGTTTTAATTCCCTTTAGCAGCACGCTTGGGATAAGCCCTGCTTCTGGGGCGCCTTGATGAGCAGCCTGGCCTGTGGTTCCCGGTCGATTATCTGTGGTTTCCTGTTGACTGTGGTTGTCTGTTCACTACGCGTATGTAATACAGCTGTATCTTTATAATAACCTTTTTATTTTTTATTTTTTTCCCCTTAATGTTTTGGGGAATTTAGGGCTAAATATAATGTGCAGCTTGGAAACACGTGTGAAACCTGTTGCAGCACATGCCATTCCTGCAGAACGGATTATAAGGGCTAGTGTTGCCACTGCTCAGCTGCTGCAGGTAAATTTGGCATCCCAGCATGCTAATCCACGCTACCTTAATAAGCGAAAATTGCTAGATTAAGTCAGTATGTGATTTGGGAAGATGTTGTCTAGCATCCTGTCATCCTTAAAACTTAGGTAAGGCAAGAATAAAGGCCCTGTCTTAGATGATTCCTGCAGATTGGGCCACTTGGGAAATTTAGGCAAAAGGAAATGTCRTTTTTGAAAATGAGTCAGTTGATGTACATTGTTCAGTTTAATGCACACCTTTTACTGGATCTAAGTGGCAGGCATTGCTACCATGTTTTGTGCCCAGGGCTTCCCAGAGGTCAGCTCTGAATTTTCACTTCTCCTTTCTGCTTGGAGCATCGTATTTCCTGTATTCTTTTCTTTTTCCTGCTTATGGCTGGGTGTTACCTAGCAGAAAATACTTAATGCTGTATTAGACTTTATGCCTTGTCAGCATAGCATTAGCAATTTGAGTGCTGCAGTGGGATGATAAGCCAGCAGTTGTGTAGTTTCTTTTCCTGGAAGGCTATTTCAGAAGTCAATATTGTTTTTGTGAAAATTGTAATAAAATATTGCAGGAATATATGTCAAGAGATAGTTTATTCTTTTAAAGGAGAAAATATTGACTGGTGTCCATTTGCATCATGCCACTTGTTACTCTTCAGGAGTCTTTTCAAAGCACAGACGGCATAAATTCCTTTTATCTCACCATGAACTTTGTCTCAGAAGTCAGTATGGAAGGTAGATTTAAAGTAACAAACTGCTTCACTATTCTAAGTAAAGAAATGGAGTTTTCTTGCTTGATTTTTGTTGCTATCCACAGTGCTTTCTGTGTCATTACTCTTACTCACAGGCAACCTCTAGTCCAATTTCTTCTGGCATGAACATATTAAAATATTCCCATCTTGTTATATGTTTGGAGTAATTAAAAAAGTAAATAAAACGAACCATTGGGCAAAACAGATTAAATACAGGTTTGCAACCCCAACTTTTCTTCCTCTTTCACATGAGACGGTTAATGTTCCACTTTGTACTTTCCCTTCCTCACGTTTGTTGGCTGAACAAAGAAGGTTCTAGTGAGAAACTTGCATTTAAAAGTGAGGCACTTTTGCATCTCAGCCAGATAACATCTTGTCCCACATAGGCTCCCTGGTACCTGGTGCGGTTGAAAGGTTGTTTGATTTGTTTGCTTTTAATTTAGCTACAAATAACATTGTTGTGATTTGGCCTGTAACAGATCTTACTGAAGATTAAATTCATGGGCTGTAACTGAACTGTGTCGAAATATAGATGTGAATCTAGTTTCTACAGAGAATCAATTGTAGCAGCATTTGGATCTCTGTTTGAATCATTTGAGGTGCTTGTTTTAAAAGTAACAGCTTTGTTCTTGCAAAGTTCTTGTGAAGAAACCTTAAACATTTCCGTAGCAATTTTACATTGTTTCTACCAGCCTTGATGCATTTTTCAGAAGTTATGCTTCCTTGATTGTGTAATTGCAGCATGTTTTTACAATGCAGGATGTTATTGCGGCTGTTCCCAGTGTTGGAGGACACTGCAGACAACTTCTGCTTGCTTTTGACCCAAATAATTTTTCAGGAGCTTAGAAGGAAGATACAAAGTACAAGGCTCTGATGACTGTGTTAATTACATTAGTAATTTAGAAAGCCCAATTCATGGTTTGTGGGTCATTTTGCAAACAGCCATGAGAAACTAAAAATGTTAAAACTGAAGCCAACATGGAGTGCAAGGTGTGATATGACACTGTTACATGCTCTGTTTTGCTTTTTTGTAAGCAACCTGCTGTAACCGTTTCATATGTTACTGCCCAGTAGTAGACTGTAATATCAAACAAATTCCATGGTTGGGAATTCCATTCTGTTTTAAAATGGAGCTAAAAGAAGGGAAAACCCAAGCAGTTATACCTTCAATCTGAAGAACATTCCCAACAAAAAAACTTTTCTTAGTTATTGGTTCAATTTCGTATATTAGGAAAAGAAAATGCATATTTACTGCTAAGGCTATTTTCATAGGAGATAAGAATCTTTCAGTCCCTGTTTTATAGATTGTTTTTGTATTTAATTGACTCTCTTGTTAAGGTAAATTACAACAATGTTTTGTAAGCACCTATTTCTTCACTGGATTTAGGCAGCTAAGTACCTTCAGTGATCACAAGCTTAGTTGTTGGGTATTTTTTTGTATTTAACTTGTTTTACATGATGAGGATTAATGATAGTTACATATACAGGATACTTTAATCTGTATCTAAAGCATGATCAGTAAGTACTATTATCTCCCTATTGCTTGAACTGATATTAAAACAATTTGCATGGTGCTATTACTAATGCTAAAGACCATTCTCAAAAGTCCTTTTTTTTTTTTTTTTTTAACAGTTATTTTTCGGAGTGGTCAGTATTTTACATGCACACACTCAGGCAAAACGAATGCCCACTGTGTAAGCCAGCAACTTAATGGCCTCTTTGTGGACACAATCAGGAAATGTGCCTTTTGTTTTCCTGCACCTGTTGCTGTATTACAAATAAAATCATCCAATGTTTTATTAAATAAAATAAGAAGCTCTAATGAAATTGTACCAGCCATTACCAGGAAGTCTATTGAAAACATTCAGCAGCTGCTCTATTTGAGTTCATTTACACTGATAGCGTTGTTTTGTCCTTCTCCTTTTGCTCTAAATGAGAAAGCTACAGTGCAGCTTACAACAGAGCCTTGGACCATTTCATACCATTCCTTCATTTGAATTACTTGATCAGAATGGGTAATAAGTCAAGATAGTTACCCACACAGCACTCCTAAATGTTTGCTAGAAGTCAATAATGCTAGGTCTTGTTGCAAAGTTGTTTATTAGCACCAAYTTAGACCCTTACAGAACACTGGCATAGCAGGTAAAGTCTATAATATTATTCAGATTTCAGAGAGAGGGAGTGTAACAAAGCAATTAAGAATCAAATCAGCCAACCCTTCTAATTAGAGAATTGTCTAGGTGGCTTGAGAAATTCTCTGGATGAGTTAGGAATCGTCCTTGTTTGGAATAGCAGTCTATCACCACCTTCTCTGAACGTCTGAAACAGACCTGGGGCCTCTCTCCTCTGTGTTTGCAAGCTGTCCATCAAATAGCCGTGCTGGCAGGTGGGTGAGGAGGTGTACACAGAATAAACTGCAGCTCATAGCAGTAAAAGGCGTAAGTTAAAATCGAAGGTAAACATAACAATAATTCATGATACTAGTAATTCATGATGCTAAATAGTAGATCTTGTATTAAAACTGCTAGTAAGTTTCATCATAACCATAGCTGCTTAGCGTACGGGAGAGTGGTTGATAAAAATGTTCTGATAAAAATAGTGTAATAGGGAGTTTTATTCAAACCTGAACAAAACCTGAAATCTGTAGAATATGAAATGCTTAGGTAAAATGTCATCTAAGCAGCAGCTGATTCAACTCTCCCTTCCCTTGATTAAAAAATGAACAGTTAAGCCATGAACAGAACACGCAGGTCTTACGTGTCTTATGTGCTGGAGAGTCTCTTTCTGACCAGTGAGTTTCCTTCCCTTCAAGTGGAGGAAGATGAAATATCACCAGTCTGTCGCTTTTTGTGATGTTAAAGATCCTCATCTCTCTGTTTCACAACCAGTCTGTTAGAGCCCATCCTACTGGTGTTTTCAGCCAACTGGAGATGACCTTTCCCTCCCTCTCTTCAGTCACTAATACTAGGAGGAGAAAGGAGAGTGAATTGGGATATTAAAATGACCTAGTTGCCTTAACAAGAAAGTCAAGGCTAGACTGTCTTTCACTGTATGCTTAGTGGTTGGACCAGTTTCAAGCTATCAGCTGTTGCCATCACATCCATTTATCAGGATTCTGTATCTTTCAGGCTTATAGACTTTGCTGGTGTCAATAACAAAAACCGTCCCTTTACTCCTAGCTAAAGCCATGAGCACCTTCACAGGGCTGGTCAGAAAAGGGCACATGCCAGGGGTGTCTGCTCAGTGAAAGGCAGGCCTCCGTCCAAAGAAAAGTTACTTAAAAATACTGTATTTTACACCAAGCTAGTGTGATCCATAGGAACGCAGGGCCCGAGATCAGAGTCTGATTTTGCATGGGCAAAGAATGATGGCTTTCAGGCCTGGAGGGACAGGAGAAGGGCATGCCCACTTACAAACAGTTGGGCCATGCCCTACACAGTTAGGCACACTGGGGTTGGGGGACTTTTCAACTGTGGTATTTTATTTTCCATGCAGCATTTAGGATTGTTTTCTAAATTGCATAGGTTGTGGCTGCACTAACTAAATTGTGGTGTGGTCATTGAAAGGGGAGAGCAGCCCAGCAATTGAATGAGGGAGCACAGGGCAGAAGTGAATGGAGGATGATGGCTCCTTTCCTCCTCCTCAGGGAGCTGACTGGGCTTCCTTGGACTGACTGCCAGCAAATCTAGGAGGAGCCCTGCCAGGGACTTCCACTTCTGCCAGTGGAACAAATGCACCTGGAAGAGGTTGTTTCTCTGTTTCCCAGTGCTTTCCGTGACAGCTATGAGGTCTGAATGCTTTGTCATTTTCATTGTGACTGTATTAGCAAGCACACACACCTGCAGCGCAGCTATAAAGCACATGTGCAGGGATCAGAGGGCTTGTTTTGCTTAGTGCCACTGTACATTGCGTGCTGAGAGAGACAGGTGTTAGCAGAAAGGTAAATAAGGGGCTAAGCAGGGCAGCTCTATTTTTGATATTTTCACATTTAATGTTTATGTATTTTACACTTAATGTTTGATTAGGGCAGATGCTTCTATCAGCCTTTCTCCTGATCTAAAAGGAAGGCAAGTCTTGGTTAAAATGTAAATTAGGAGTTGGTCAAGGAATTGAGACATTCTCCATTTTTATCTGTCCTTCATTTTCCTGTATGATGATATATGAACTTAATCCAGTATGATTTTAAACAGGTCTAGATGAATAAAATCTGTACCTATTATAAGCACATCAATACTATCACAGCAAAATCACCTGTTTGATATACAGCATGTGAAAGTAACAGCTCCTTCTGATGAGCTGCTACAAAGGTACTTTACTATGAGGAAACTGCTCATTAGTAATTATTTCATTCTGAAAGAAGTTAGGGATAATCATGTTGTCTTGCAAAGAGAAATAATCAGAAAATGATGCATGGTATATAGAATACTGGGAGAAAAGCCAATAAGACCACTATAAAATTTTATTTTAATAAGGACATTTTAATAGTGTAATTGCTTACTAAATATAAATATACTTGTTCCCATTAAGATCATCCTACTCTATGGAAGTTAGCATCAAAATGAGTAAGAAAAAAACTTACTTGAAATACCTGATGTAGAAGTAGGCTGATGAATTACAGTTACTAAATGGTAGTACCTTGGTGTTTTTCCTCTCCTTTTGTATTCTGTCCCTTTGGGTTGGAAGTATCTGTCAGAATATAGTTAAGTCTACTCAGAATTTTTTATTGCTGGCATATTGTAATCACTTCTCTCATTAATTAATCTTAAAATAATTTTGAATTGCTTATGGAAAATGCTTGATTATAGTAATGAGTAGCAAAGTCCTTAATCACAGAACAGTACTGGCGAGATCTTCTTCAGATGATTCAGGGTGCTTTATCACAGATCAAGTGAAAGAATTTAAGACTAGTTCAGTTTCCATACATATCTACCCTCGAGACTCTTTAACATTACCAAGTTTTGATTCTTAATGTTGCCATTTAGACGTTTATCTCCAAGATATAGGTCACTTAAGCAGACAGCAGCACTGCTAACAGGACTATTTATTGTTTGACCATTTCAACTTTATTTTCTCAGTAAGGCTTTTAAGATGTTATTTCACTTCTAGAAGGGGTGGCTCAGACTTGAGAAGGACTGCATAATTTTTTTCCAAAAGCAGCAGCAGTACAACTGTTCTGCTGCTTCCACGAACCAACGTATGCAAAATAGTGCTCTCCTAGGCTCCAATTTGAAAATGGCTTTTAGGTAGACAGCGTCAGCCATGCTTGTTTAAGCTCTTACTGGAATCAGGGAGTCTACCCTAATAAACTGCAAGGATGTCCTCAGCATGGAAAAGGGGTTCTAACTCTGCACTCGCATGGTGAAAAGCAAGAATTACCCATCAGCTGCAGCACTAGCTCTTCAGCAAAAGGTAAAAGAATTACAAAGCCTGAGAGCTGAACACTCTTGCAGTTCTGTTCCCAGCACTAAAGTGAAGATGTGAAATACAAGCACAGAAGTAACAAGCTTCTGTATGAACAAAGTGTTAAGACTATATTAAAATAGCTGCCTAAGTGACTGAAACACATGTGATGGATAAATAAGATTGAGAGTGGTACTATCAGGATTCTTGTATGTTATCAGTAATTCAAGTAAATATCAGAGTCCAGAACTTGAGCTATTTAGATAATGGCTTGATTTTTTTTTTGCTATACCAATGGAAAAGTGATTCATTTTATCTTATTCCTTAAGTAGTAAACATTTTGAAGACTTAATAAGCAAATTCTACCATTTCTGTGAATTGTTTATCAACGCACCATTACAATAAGTCGTATTTGCAACTGGGAAATTAACAGCTTATCCAAAATACTAGTGATGTTATGCAAGGAGAAGCGATTCAAGAAAGAAAAAAGATCTCTGAAGTCAGTTATTAAAAATGCCATCTTACCCTTATTTTCCTCTGAACAGGTTCAGGAGACAGGTAAATCTACAGTTACTGTTTAAGTGCTCTACAGGGATGATGCCAGGTCTCAACTTCTAAATATTTAGCTGGCCAAAACATGATGCATCCTCCAACCATCCAGCAAATAAGGGATGCATAAACAGAAGCTACAAAAACTACTTCAAGATATTTATGAACAGGTTATTAACGGACACTTTCCATATTAGCTTTATGTTACTTATATTTCTGAACAGATGAATTTTCTCCTGTCTTTTCAAAGTATTCCAGTTCCAAAATATAGAAAGTTTTAACATTAAGGCATACATACAGCTATGATGTTTGCTTTCATTTAATAAGGATCAATTTACTCATACTCAAATACATGGAATGTTGGCACAAAACTAAAGCTTTTGTGGAAACAGCTACCAATCGTACACAAATAGTCTGTGAGGTCCTCTTGACTTGCATTTCTCTGATAGATACACCACAAAATGGCTTTCATTATACAAACTGATTGCTGGATCAAATTTCTAAATAATAAAGTAGCAGTTAAAGTAAATGGTTTGCTTTATTTGTAAATTATGTACAGAATACATTTTTTTTTGTATTATGATGGTGCAGGAGAAAGAAGACAGCTGTAATTTCCAAACCATGCTGTATCCTTTACCTGCTGGAGATGACATCTTCTTTGAACCAGATGTACAAAAACAGTTTGGATTTCCTAAGTTGCTGGCACACAATTTGGAGAAACAGAGAATACTGCAGCCAAATGCAGCACTACCAGCTTTAAGATTTTCAGGAAAATACCTCTGCTAAAACTAGTTTTCTTAGGAAAGATTTCACAATTTTTTTCAAAAGGCAAGAAAAGTATCAAGAAAGCTGTGGGCTAAGTAGTATTTTACCTAACTAGCTATCAAATGAATACAACTAGGAATAATCTTGAAATTTGGTCATTCAACTTTTACCTGTTTCACAAAAGCAATTTTGAGAAGCTAAACTAATTGAACCGTTATGCAAGTACCAGAAAACTGTTTTCAGTGTGTTTGAGGACAATCTGGGCAATCTATCAATCAATAGAAAACTTGTCAGATTGATAAAACTTCTGTAAATGTATATTAATGATTAACATAGTACCAAGTAATCAAGTTAATGGTTAAAAAATTGAAGGAACTAGATATAAAACTGTTTGGTAACATGTGTATTTCAGCAAACAAAGATGCTACTGTACGGTCTATGTTTTGGTGATCAGCCAACAAAGAAAATCCAACCATTTGTACATACTTAGTCCCATAAGCACAGTGAGTTATGATTTCTCATGTGAAGGCCTACTTTCAGCATCTTCCTCCTCTTCCTCTTCACAATCCTCTTCATCTGTTTGCTGCTCAAGTTCCTCTTTTGTGATCATTTCAAAGTCGTTTCCATTTCCACTACTGTGCTGGGACCTGTCATCTTCACGCCTGTCACTGTCTGTGTCTGAATGTCGCTCTCCTCCTGAGCCTTCTGTTCCCGAGTTCCTTGTTACTTCTGTTTTTCCATCTTCCTCCTCCTTCTTCTCACTGTCTGATTTCTCCTCACTGTCATATTTTGGCTGCTTTTTGGATTCTGATTTTTCCTCTTTCTTTAAGTCTGCTTTTGGTCCTTTGTATTCGTGTGTGTACAGGGGCCTGAAGGAGTCAATGAATCCCACATCTGCTGTCAGATTTGGCAAGAACCAGAAGTGATGCCTTCCTCCAGTGATCAGCCAAATAATAAGGAAAAGAATGCAGCGGGCTATATAAAACAAAAAACAAAAAGAAAAAAAAAAAACAGGAAATTGTTTTTAGCATAAACATTCACAATATTCAGATATTTTTAATGTAGAAACATCTGCTGCTGCTAGCCACCCAAATGCAGAAACAGTAGCAATCTTGAGAAAAAGTTTCTTTCTATAACAGCATTTTGCAATTGTTTATTCTTGATATCTCCCTCTGCACCCACATCCAATTAGCCATTTATTTCTAACCTATGATTTAGTTCTTAATCCATCTGCTAAATGAATATGAACCAAGGGCAGCTTTAAAATCTTAGCTACATTGTTCTCACCACAGAAGTCATTTTTAGCTGATGTTTTTCTTTTTTTCCCTGCCATTTTTCTTTTGCATAGGCTGGTGATTGGTGAAAATATTGTTTCTAGTCCATTACACTTAATTCTGCGTGGAAAGAGAGGAGGACAAAATATAGGCCTCACGTAAAGACCCATCATATACCGGAGTGAATAAACTTTCCTTTCCTTTCACGCTCACAATGAGCCCTACAAGGGTTCATAAGCTAACGTTCCCAAATAACATGCCACTTCCCAAACCACAAATGTATTTCAGAAGCTGTATGTATGTCCTAGGGCCACTAGGGGCTATCCTGAGCCTGGCTAATTCTTTTACACTCTTCTCCCATGCTCTCTCAAACATCTTCTGCACTCATTGAGCTCTGTTTAAAGATGGCACTGATTTAGTCTGCTCTCCTTTACCTTGTTGATGTTTTTACCCTAAAAAGTGAAAATTTCTGATCCCGAAAGGGAGCCAGAGAGATTCAATATTTGCTGAGCTAATAAGTCAATCTTCATTACATGGGGAATACACACAGGTGAAATGGGCTTCAGGGTAAATATTTCAGTGGCCAAGTCTGACACCTCGTGGCCACTAAGGAAATATGTGTCTCTCCAGACACATGGAGGAGAAGAAGGTGCTCAGGAGTAGCCAGCATGGATTCACCAAGGGGAAATCCTGCTTGACTAACCTGATCACCTTCTGCGAAGGAATATCTAGCTGGATAGATGAGGGCAGAGCGGTGGATGTCATCTATCTGGATTTGAGCAAGGCTTTTGACACTGTCCCTCACAGCATCCTCCTGGGCAAGCTCCRAAGGTGTGGGATAGATGWGTGGACGGGGAGGTGGATTAGRAATTGGCTCGATGGCAGGGTGCAGAGAGTGGTTGTCAATGGTGCGGAGTCCAGCTGGAGGCCTGTACTTAGTGGTGTCCCCCAGGGRTCAGTTCTCGGTCCGGTCCTGTTCAACTTATTCATTAACGACCTGGATGAAGGGCTGGAGTGCTCCCTCAGCAAGTTTGCCGACGATACCAARCTGGGTGGAGTAGCTGATAGCCCTGAGGGCTGTGCTGCCATCCAGAGGGACCTGGACAGACTGGAGGACTGGGCGGCGAGAAACCTCATGAGGTTCAACARGGGCAAGTGCARGGTCCTGCACTTGGGGAGGAATAACCCTGGACACCAGTACAGATTAGGGGTGGACCTGCTGGAGAGCAGCCCCGCAGAGAGGGACCTGGGTGTCATGGTGGACGACAAGTTGACCATGAGGCAGCAGTGTGCCCTGGTGGCCAAGAAGGCCAACGGGATCCTGGGGTGCATTAAGAAAAGCGTCTCCAGCAGGTCGAGGGAAGTGATCATCCCCCTCTACTCAGCCCTGGTGAGGCCACATCTGGAGTACTGCGTCCAGTTCTGGGCTCCCCAGTACAAGAGGGATGTGGAGCTGCTGGAGAGAGTCCAGCGCAGGGCTACSAGGATGATCAGAGGCCTGGAACATCTGCCCTATGAGCAAAGGCTGAGAGAGCTGGGTCTGTTCAGCCTGGAGAGGAGGAGGCTGAGGGGGGACCTGATCAGCGTGTATAAATACCTCAAGGGAGGCAGTGAGGAGGAGGGGGGCGGCCTCTTTTCAGTGGTGGGCAGGGATAGGACTAGAGGAAATGGCTTCAAACTGAAGCATCGCAAGTTCCACAGGAACTTAAGGAAGCATTTCTTCACTGTGCGGGTGACAAAGCACTGGAACAGGCTGCCCAGAGAGGTTGTGGAGTCTCCTTCTTTGGAGATCTTTAAAAGCCGCTTGGATGCAGCCCTGTGCCACGTGCTCTAGGTGACCCTGCGTGAGCAGGGGGGTTGGACTCGATGACCTCTGAGGTCCCTTCCAASCTTCGGCATTCTATGATTCTATGAAATGAATAATCCCAGCTGGAAGTAACAAGGCTGGTTATTGTTAGTAATAAAATATTCCCAGCGAACTGAGATTCACACATTATAGCGAACTTTAAAAGTTAGCCTACTTCTCTGCCCCTTTAGCCTTCACTTGCTTAAAATACAGACAACTGGCACTTACCAACAGCAAGAAGAAGAATACTGGCTACAAAACAGCCTGCACCTACACTGAGGTAATAGACACCAACACGCATTTCTGCTGGCCAGAGTGGAAACAGAGTGGCAGCTATAACAGCAATCACTAAAAGGGAAATAAAGAGAAAAGTGTCAGCATGTTAGCACGTGTCCCCTGCCTCCCACCCCCTTTCCTGGTAAAGGTATAAAACTTTCAGGCTTACTATAAACCATCTATTAATGATATTATAAAGGTACCTATCAATTATATGATAGTATCTTAGGCCTTAACTGAAACCTTTTCTACTTCCACTGCTCCCATTTTCACAGTGGGTAGACAGTCACCAGGACCATATTCAAGAGGTCTGAGTCACTGTGTCTAGTCAGTAAGAAAAAACAGAGCACGTCTGAAGAGAGAGAAAAACCATGAGTGGGGAGCTACCTAAACAGAGCCCACCAGGAAACACTGGGCACAAGGAGCTGAGTGGAGTTTGTGGTGCCCCCAATTATTGGTCTGAGAGGATATGGACCACAGGACTGATACGGATTCTCTGTCTCAAGTTGAAAGGTCCAGCTAAGGGGCGCTGCACTAGTAGTGCAATGATCTGCTCACTCATTGATATGAGCAAACATCAAGAATAATTTCAAAATAATTAGAAAAATAAATTTGTTTGGACATGTCTACATAAATAAAAATTCTAAGTTTGTGAAAGTATGATTTATGGTTTAAAATTATTCCTTTAGCATCCTTTCCCATTTTTGTATAAATTTGTATAATTCCTTTAGCATTTTTGTATAAACTTGTTGGTGGCATCCATGTTAGTAACTCAGCAACTTACTACCTTAAAGCAACTGCAATCAACATCTTTGTGTACTCTCAGACATTTGGTAATGCATGCCATTACTATTTTAGGAGTTTTCTTGTCTGTGTATCCCCTGCAATTTGTAGATCAAGATTTGCTACCCATCACGCTGAAACTGTGAAGAATAAAATCTTTGGCCTGGAGAAAGACAGATTTTCAAAGAGACATCTGTCCTTGGGAAGCTCTGCCTACATCCACAGCTCGCTCATTACTTACCAAGTACAAGTCCCATGGCAAATGTTTTAAAGTGAACAGGGTCATAGATCCACACATACACCTACAACAGAAATGATCCATTTACCATTTGGAAAGCAAGTTGTTTGATAAAGGGCTTCAGCTATTCTCATCCCAGCGCTTCATGTCACACTGAACAAGGTCACTCTGCTCCACCCCGAATGGGCGCGGGGCACAGACGCCCGTGTGGCCGGCGCTGCTCGGCTTGGGCTGGCCCTTGGAGCTGCGGTTAGTGCCTGCTGAGGGGCTGCGAGGCGGAGGCAGCCGGGGCAGCGCGGCCCCCGTGCCTCTGCGGGCCCTCCGGCCGCCCGCCGGAGCTCGCCGTGCTCGCCACCACCACCGCGCCTGGCGCAGGAGGCCTGAGGACACCGTGCCCCAGAGCGGGACCCCCGCAGAGGCAGCCACGCTGGCCGGCACGTGGACAGGCACGTGGACAGGCAGGACTTGCAATGTGGGCCAGTGTCCCACCTGGCTTAGAAGGTCCAGACGCCGTGTGCTCTCATGCCCGTGTTTCTGCAGCATGCAAGTCATTTTGCCTTCTGGTAACTTGCAATAAGTGCTGATTATGTTTCCTCTAATACTGAAYTATAATCCTACCATAAATTCCTGCTTATGATGGTTAGCAAAAACTGGGTAATCATTTTGCTAATTCTTAAAGCCGAACACTTTCTGCTGCTGGTAGATGCTCCTCAGGCTGCCCCAACAATTGTTCATGAGAAGATCCGTGCCTGAACACTCATTTGTACTTCCTTCAGGTTAACGAACAAGCAGCTCTGACCATTCCAGAATGAGCCATAAAAACCCTCCTTCATTCATTCATCCACAAAAAGCTACATGTGAAAAGTGGGGTCTCCAAGGGGTGTCTCTCCCAGCTTTCCAGCATACGGTTAAGAAGTATTTGGGGGTAAATTTAAAGAAATTTTAGCCAGAATAAACTACAGGTCATGTAAATGTTTGGAGAGAACATTCAGATAATGAACTGATGAAGAACTGAAAGACAGAGAACTATCACTGATTCAAGGGTTTGTTTTGAGTTTTGTTGTGGGTGAAGCCAAGTCTGAGGTGCACAAYGTGGAAATAACAATTGCTTCTAGCTTTGCAGAGATCCCCTGAAGGGGCAGGAGGGAACTTGGGCGAAGCACCAAGAGCAAAGCAGCRTGGGGCAACACTCGATGTGGAACAAAGCGGAAATAACCCGAGGCCGGAGACTTAAGTCTCATTTGGTGGCATGAGATGAATCTAACGGCAGCYCCTGCAGCACAGCACATGGCTGCCCAATGTCGCAACGCTCAATAGTGAGAGCTCCGGTGAGAACCTTGGATCCAGCGGGAGCAGAATCTGTTCAGCTTTAGGAACAGGCTTCTTGGTAAAGTGCAGAATTTCCTGAAGTAGTAAATTAGCTTTTTTTTTCCTCTTAAACAAAACCGTAACTGTAGTTAAAATTGAAATTAGTAGCTGACTAGCAGCAACCTTCATAGCACAAGAGTCAATACAGATATAGAACTCTTTAAATAAGGTAGCAATACATTTTTTTCAGTGCTGATACAAGAAATATTTAACATTTTACTCTTCTCACAGTGTATGAAAAGTTGACTCTGCAGACATGGTTGTGATGCTAGACAGCTTCTGTAAGCCCAAATAAACTTAAAGGCATGACCAAGTGACTGGCCATAAGGTAGTAAGGAACAGTCAGTGCTGACAAATGCAGAGTAGAAAGAAAAACAGCTCTTACTATAAATATACACGGATTGCTCTAGATTAGCTACTACTTAGGAAAGCTCATGGAGTCACAGTCCTTTGAAAATGTCAGCTCCTTAACAAAATRGTAAACAATATTAGGATAAAGAATAAACCTTGCTATGCTGCCAAATAAATAGAAAAGTGCACCCTCATTGTGAAGGCTCCCTGCCAATCTGGCTATCCTGTGCAAAATACAACACAGAGGGTCAGAGATATAAGGAATTCTATACCAGSTGAGACAAAACGTATTAAGACAGACTGTAAAAGAAATGGCTAAAATATAGAGATGTAAAAGAAGTGCATTTTCCACCTAACAAATAAGTTGCCGTGTACTGTGGGTTCACTGCAGCGTAAGCTTTAGAACAAAAGGAGAATGAGACTTTTAGGAGAGATTGACATGCCTCAAGTCACAACGTGAATGTAGAACACAGAATATTTCTGCTGAAGTGCAGGAGTTCCCACTTAGGCCTAATCTCACAAGCAGGAATATGGCACAGTATGTTACAGAACTACTAGTGAATTCAATTCTTGGTTGTCCAGAAAAGTGAAGTACAGAGAATTATTTAGCACCATGCACTATTTCAGTGGTGAAACCAGGCTGAGAATTCTGGAATGCCTAAGGCTCAGCTACCTGCCCAGATCTCAGATTCAGGCTCAKGATAAAGGCACTTTGGATGAATGGCAAATTCTTTTCACTTCCAATGTTGTGATTGAATTTTATGTTCTAAAAAGCTTAAATTTTGTTTAGAAATACTTCARCATGACTACGCCCATAGGATAATTCAAGTTGGAAGGGACTTGAGGAGCTCTCAAGTGTAGGGTAAACTATAAGGCGAGACCAGGTTATTCACAGCTTAATCCAGTCTAGTCTTGAAAACCTAAGAGTATAGAAACTAATAGTAAAACTACAAACTCTACTACTAGAGCAGTAGAGTCTAGGCTACTCTAAAACTACACCATGCGGACCGAAATTTCACCTTATATCCAGTAACACTCTAACTACTGGGAATAAAGTTTTCTTTTAGATTTCTCACATTACTGTTCTGCATCCTGCCACCTCTTTTAATGTCCTTGCAGACATTCCAGATCTGATATATCAAGATCAGCTTCAGGTTTCCATTCACTTTTCTTTCAATAGGACAAAAAGAAAGTGTGCAAAATCCAGTAATTTAAGCTATAACCTGACAACAGTACTCTGACGCTAAGTTTACAAATATCTATGTATCTCACCTCATTTCCATCCAAGAAAACTTGGTCTTCATGTGGCTCAAGCTTAAATTTCCTCTTAGTTTCCTTTTTTTTGGGTGTTCCTGGGGTCTCATCCTGAGAGCAAAGGCAGATTATAAAGAAATAAGCCAAAGGATGTTAATTTCTAGTGTGCAAACACACTTTCCACAAACTTGAAGAAAAAAAAAAAAAGTAATTTTAAGTATAAATGCTTTATTTCCTTCTGATCTCATTTATTACTGATTAAATGTCTCAAAAGAAAATGGTGGAGAAATATAAAATTTACTTTTTGATTATTGTCTGGAGTTAGAGTATTAACTTCGGGATTCAAATGCATTCATTCAAATGCACAGCAAAGCTCTCCTGATACTAACAAAAGAAACCATGCAAGGATCAGGAACAACACTCGCAATCACTAGTTACTTGGTATTTTGGTGGCATGTGCACTGTTTAGGCAGGTTTTTGGAATCACCTTCAGCCTTTTTACCCTCTACCTCCCTCAGTCATTTTTGGTTTTGTGCTTTCCTCCTTCCTGTATCATTTCCTTCTCTCTGCTTATTTCTTTGTTTGAAATTAATTTTTTTTATTTTTATCCTGTGTTGCTGTTAAAGTCATTATCTACTAGCTTATATCACCCACTGAAATAGCAGTTGAATAATTAATAATTAGTTTAAAATTAACACTTAATATTATAACTCTTCAGACTGGTAAAACTCAAAAATTTCAAAATTTGCTTTTTAAACAAGAGCCAAACAGTATCCTGGGTTCTATGCTGAGACTGCCAGGAATGCTTGTTGTGCTAATAATTCCTTTCTTAGCTGTGCAACTTTTTTTTCCTGAGATGCAGATCTTGGTACATACAGACTATCCCTTTCACTAAATGTGATATATTTTACTCAAGAGTGTTAGAATAATTCTTGATTACTATTAACTTACTGGATTCAAAACACTATACAGACAAGGAAAAATGTCTCCATCGTGTTTCTCCTGTGGATTCTTCATTACTAATGTAGAAATTTAGTGTTGGTAATAAAACATATCAGGAGACACACAAAAACTTGAGCAGTAATAATAGTTTGATCCTTTTAAAAAGTAAATTAAAGTATGGGAAAACTAGAAATTATATATACTAATAATGAGGTTTTCATACGTAGAAGTCACCTACTATTACAGAACTGTTTACAAGCACCAAGTCCATGCAACTTTGCAATATTCTATTTGTAACCAAATTCTTTATTCTAACAGCTTTGTTTCTTTGCTTACAGATTGCACTTACCTTCTTACTCTCTTCTTTTTCACCATCCTTTTTCTTTTCTTTTTCTTTCTCCTTCTTAGTTTTTTCATCTTTACCACTTTCCTTCTTGCTCTTTTTCTCCTCTTCTTTCCCACTCTCAGCCTTTCCTTTTTCCTTTTCTTTCTTTGTATCCTTATCAGGCTTCATTTTCATCACTTTTAATGCTCGATGAAAGAACTGTTTTTTCAGGAGTCTTAAAAGGACAAAGGTTAAATGATACACTTAAGTGATGAAATAATATTTATACACAGTTGTGTTATTAGATATCAGTAGAAACTAGTATTTACTAATACACAATAACAACATGATGAAAAGTCTTCTCTATGCTATTTTCAAATGAAGACATTAGATCTATAACCCTTTGTCTCACCTCTTGCTTTCCTCTCTTGTTCATCTGCTCAAAATTGGATTAAAAACTGTACTTTATGTGGTAGCATCTTTGTATAGATGTAAATTATGAAAAAATTTAGGATGATGGAAACTCAAGTTCATTTAATTATCTTTCCTATTAATGCAACTCCATCCAGTATTTATTTTAAATCTCATGTCAATGTATTTTGTAGCAAAAAGATATTATTTAGCTGACAGAAATGGTCAGTTGACATTAATAGCTGACAAATGGTCAGCTACAATGTCCATTATATATATAAAATATTATTAAAAAAAAAAATATATATATATATATATATATATATATATATATATATGATGTGCAGTGAAATAGGAAGAACTATCTGGTATTCTTACAATTGGCACCAATGAGCAATATCCCTGTAAGGATCACGCTCCAGTTCAGAACAGGCAGAGCATAGCACACTGCTCTCCAAACTGACTGGAAGCAGCAGGGTACAAAGTCCAAGGGCAGACRCACAAAAATATCCTAAGGGTCAAATCAATTTGTTTTGGTTTCTTTCATTTCTTACTGCAAATCGGTATGTTGGACTGCTTTTTAAATTAGGAAAAAATCACTACAGAAAAGCTTTTCTACTAATTAAAATAATGTTCAGGTCGACTGTTGAAACAGTTGTTTTCAAGTGTGTATACATGTTTTTTATGTTATATTAAGAAAACCTTCAGGCAATTGTTTACATGAATTCTGCTTCTCATAACATAACAACCAAATCACTTCTTCAGAGGGAAGATTTTTCTTGATGGTCATGAACTTAGGGAGGCTCGGGGTGGCAGCCTGCAGGAGCAGCCCAGCCTGCAGGACAACCTTTTCAGGTGGAGGAGCCACCTCTGCCTCTGCTGGGGCATGGAAAGACGGGGCTGGAATCACTCTCCCGCTATGCGTGGGCACCCAGGGCACCATCCAGGTGCACCGAGTGATGGCGTCAATGTGGCCAACGATCAGGTCCTGGAACTGCACCAACCTTCACATAATTAACAAGATCCAGATTACTCAGGATTTCTCTGCTGATTCTCAACAGATCAGCAACATTATTGCAATCAATAAATGCTATTGAACTGGCACAAATTACCAGATCTCATACTAATTTTCAAACACATTAATCAAACTTAAATCATTATTTATCCACCATAATACAAGTGTTTTAGAAAACAGTAAATCCCTTTTTTCAAAGACTTGGCAGTGAAACAGGTTCCTAAGTAACGTAAGATGCTTTGACACATGCACTCAGCATTAAAATTGATGAATGAGACCAGAAAGTCAAACCTGTTGCAGTAATCAACTACAGACTCCCGGGTTGTAAATAAAGCTTCTTCTCCTTTCTTTGCCTTTGCCCATTTAGAATCCAAGAGGCAATCCACAGCTTTTGAGGCTAGAGAAAAAAAGAATAAAAAATGTTACAGTCAAGTATTTATTTGTAACATTTAACCTACTTTCCTCGAATCACACCAAGCAGTCGTTTCTGGCTCAATATTCTTTGATATTTAAAATAAGAGTAGCCGCTCTTCCTGAATTTATCATTCTGGACACCTATACACATTAAGACCACAATGCGAGAAGCTGATAAAATTTATTGCACTTACTTCAGGCTGATAAGATAAGTCTTATGGCCATCTAATGCCTAGATAACTCTGCAAGACTTCTTTGATAAAGACTCTACAAGAACTTCTTTGATAAAACAATAATAATAAAACAYGCCTTCCCCATATTAGTAAACAGATAATATCATTCTTTGGTTAACCTTACCAATAAAATAATCAACTCGGTGGCCCATCATGTTGGTAGATTTTGTTGGACAGTTGAAACGTAAGTATTTGGCAACGGCCTTCTCCTCTTTAAATGGCTCTCCAACCTCCTACAGTAATAAAAACGAAAAATAACTCAGGTTTAAGCCCACAGGGAAGATACTCATTTGAACTCAAAATCATATATTCTAAAGTCCTCATTATTTTAAGGCAATACAAATAAATTTGTAGAAAATTTAAAAATAGGTCATTTTTCCAAAGAGCTTTTGGTCAACATAAGAAAGAAATAATTCTAAAGTACTGGGCATTTGGCAAATGGGAAGGTGTTTGAGGCACACAAGTCTGAAGGAAGACAGATATGAAGGTGAGAGCAAAGGAAACAGTAAGGCGAGAGCAATTAGAATGGTATGAGGTGACAGCAACGCAGACATTGGCAGAATACAAAACAGTCTGAATTTCATATGGAAGAAGAATGAAAATCATGTAGAAAAGAAGTAGAAAGTTTTGACAGCTTGGTTAGAAGGTGTGGTACCAGCGTTACCACTTTCAAGATGAGCAACTGATAGAAGTCAACCAGTAAGTGGAAACTCGAGGTCAAGCACACGCTGATACACAGCACAGTAAAGTTCCAGCCAGCCCGCTGTTCATTTTCAATACTTTGCACAGCTTACTTGCAAAAGAAACCGGCTAATGAATTATTACCTGAGATGAGATTAGTGGTATTCCCTTCTGAGAACAATTTTAAACTAACGATAGATAGAAGATATCCAAAATACTACCACTACTCTGTAGCCTGCTAAAATCTSATATTACTGAGTTATTTTTTAAATATTGAATTCCTTGAACATATTTAGAAATACACACTATCACAGCTTAGGTTTAAAAAACACATGCCTGAATTAAGCCAGATGTGATCATGACATTCCTTATATGGAAGAAAATAATTGCTTATTCATGTTCAGTACTTCTTTTCTTTACAAATTTAAAAAAGTTGTACAATGGCATTGCATTTACATGCATAACTTATATGCTGAGACTTGCTGTCCTATTAATATGTTACAACTGAAAATCCCCGATGATGCTACCAAGTTTGACACCAAAACAGATGTGGTTTAACAAAAACAAAATAACTTACAATATATCAAAAACTACAGCAGTTCCATCATTACTGTATGGTACACACAGCAAGGTAGCATGGACACCAACGACTACCTGTAGCAACTGCACTTTAGATTTCTGCTATTTTTATATCTCCTCCTAGCAAATTATACTTAGTTCAACAACCCAGAGCCAATGATCTTCTCTGCAACTGTACAACAGCTTTGTCAGAAAAGCTACAGACGTTCATATCACTTAATCTGCCCGCCAGCTTTCCAGCTTGAGGTCCCCAAGCGCTCCTGCTTGTGGCAAGGATGCGACACGCCGCAAAGGCAGCAGCCGGTGCTTTTTCAGATTGCTCCTTATTCTCTTTGGCTTTGTCCTTTTCTGTGGGATAGCTCCATAACATCCCATGCAAAAGGGATCTTCTCTGAGAGACACAGTTAAATTGAGCTCCTTATGAGAAAGTTTTTCCTGCTATTTAATTCACATTTTTCACCTTATATTCATCCCTTTATTTTCATAGCCAGACTTCTGGTACAGTATTAAAACACATGACTCATGGAATAAAAACATCAAATTCCATCGTTAACTGAAATCAACYGAAGTACTGGCAATTTCAGGATCTTTTCAGTACTGCTTTTTTTAAGATGCAGTTGAGCATTTTTTTTTTTATGTTCAACAGTAAAAACAGCCAAATGTCAGACATCTCAAGCCCCATTATACATCTAGAAAAGGATTATACAAATGAATCAAAGGTGTATCCTGACATAAATTATAACATTTTAAAACAGCTGACACAACCTTAAAAGTTGTATTAATATTTTCTGGTATTCAAAGTTTACTTTTCTAGGAAAAACAGAAATATTCAGAGAAACGTTTCAGGATGTATTCCTGGAATGTTGTAAAATATTTATTCAGGTAAAATTCTCATGGCTCAATTAAGCCATCTTCAACTAATTAAAMAATAGGGTAGTATTAAGCTTTCGAATACTTCCATCCTAGATCATGAGATCTGTACATATACTTCAATTTTACATATGAAATAACACAAGTTATCACTAGGGAGCATATGAGATTTAGAGCTTTATAAACCTTGGTAGTTTCTATACTCTGGAAGAATGTCATTAAAATAAAAATCAAACCTGATTTCTTATTTAGCACCTCAAAGAACTCTAGTAAGACAAAAAAAACAAGTGCTTAACCTGCTTATTTCACTAGTAACCACACCGAAATACTAGAAATTTTTTTAAATAATTCTCGAGTATTCCTATCAAAATTCTGTCCTATATGCATCCATATAGTGCATACAGGTGCATAAAACAAACCCAGGATTTTCAAATCCAATGACCTTTTGCACTTGCTGACGTGAATAGAAAATCCTAATCATCTTCTCAAAATTTTACCATTATCTCCCAAATCAACTTAGAGACAGTGCATTCTGACCTTCCTTCGATACACAGATGTGGTTCCCATTTAATTAAACCTCTGAATGGAACTGAAGAAGAAAAGCAGCCTACCTATATTAAATACAGAAACAGCTAACTCAACTATTAAAATTAGTGCATCCATAATTCTTTCTKCTCTTCATCTCTACTTAACAGCCTATTTGTTCTTTCTCTTGGAAACAGTAAATGGATGCCAAAAGAACACAGGATATCGGTGGCCTGAAATTTCACTCATTTTTTTTCCAGCCTTTCATCATATTCATGAAAATCTGCATGACCCAAGATAGGATGTTTTCCTCCCGGAACATAAACAAGGTTCTGGATGCAAGAGCAGTGTAAATGATGACTGTCACTAACAATGTAAGCTTTTTCATATGCAGACAAAAGCATTACAAGAAATGTYAATCCTCTTTGATTTCAATGAAATGAATATTTAGTTATCTTTCTTGCTCCTATTTTTCAAAACTTAAAATTTTTGGAACATTGTCCTTCACAGAAGACTTCTGAACCTTATACAGTTTTAAGATGAGGAAAACAAGAAATTTAATCCTATTCATCGTATGCAGCCTCTTTTTCAAGCTGCCAAGGTACTGCAATCCAAGATGAGACCATGTCAACGCATGTTCAGGCTAGGACTCCCTCATGCTATGGGCCCATTACAACTGCAGTCAGATTTCCTTCTCTGAAGGCTGTCTGTGSACACTGAAGTTTGGGCTGAACCAAAAGCTTGCTCATTTCCCTCCTTCTCGGCTCCAGGGTCGTCTCACCTGCATGTCTCACACCATCTGCTCACCTCCTAAGGCGACTGCATCCAGCAGGAGTGCAAGTGGCTCCAGGCTGCCTCTACCACCAGCTCCATGCCTTTGAGAGATCCCATTATCCTACCCAAGTCTTTTTCCAGGATGACACAAATGGAATAGATAATAGACCAGGAATAGGTCTATTACCATTTGTAATTAACAGCAATTAACCAGAGGAAAGAGGGTTATGCGATGCATGCTTCCTGAAGGTAAACACGAACATGTGGTCTCAAGATGTTGCTGCCAACTGCTTTTGAAAGCTACATTTGTTCAGAGCAGAGCCTCACCRGATCTGAAACGCATGCAGGCCAAAAAGCACCGGCACCCAAGTCTGCAAGAAAAGCTCACATTTAAAGTTGTGGGCAAGTGTCTACCAGGATTTTCTAAATGCCTGACTTGCAATACAGTAGACAAAGGGAGGTTCCTAATGACTTAAATGTTTTAAGTAAACCCTACTAAACAACTATCAGTGTTTTATGCATCCAAGTATCTGAAAATCYTAAAAAGYTCATAAAAGTTCATAAAAAAAGATACAGTCCCTCTGCATCACTCTCTTCCACCAAGATACCCAGCTTAGGGAGATCACCCTCCACCAACCCAAATTAAAYACCTATAACTAAACGATGTGAAGGCCATCACTTCCCTCTAACCTAGTAATTAACTACGACTATGGCTAAAAGGAACTAGTTCTTCTGCCTCTGTCCTATTAAGGACTCCATTGTTAATACTTGAGAGGATGCTAAATGCATCAGGCTACACAACAGACATTAGCAGTTTCTTTTAAGCAGCAGTCCTCATCCACAGCACATGGCACTAATTCTCTTTTCATACCTAAACATTGACTTTTAAGATGCTCTATGATAGGGAAGGGGATACTCCTCATCCATTCTGTTGAAATTTTTATGCTTTGCGCTGGGTCAAAGAAATAAAAGACAAAATAACATAATTCAATAGATCACTGACTTGGGGATAGGGGCATATGGAAAACCCAACAAGCTGCCTCTGATCCTTCCTGTTAGGACTCTGTTTTCTTCGGTGCCTAATGAAGGTAAAATTGCTGCCCTAATGACCAGTATGTGCATTGCCCTAGGACTCTTAAAAGACGTTGTGGCAGAGCCTAAGTGAGAAACCAGTTCTTCTAGATTATTATGGCTGTACTAGCCATAACAGAGTAACTCTACAGAAAAAAAATAATAAAACAAAACATATTTTTGCTCTATATATACCCTATAAAAATATGTTTTCTTCTTTGCTCTTTTTAGCCTTCACTAATTTTTCTGAGCAAAATCGTAGGTTTTACATATTTACAACAAAGCACACAGAGCTCTCAGATGCATGCCAAAGCAGCAACGTATGGTATTTTGAAGAAAAAACATGCCAGCTTTAATTATCTTCTAGCTCTAGGCCAGACGCTTTGACTTTTTCCTTTCCTCCTTCCAAAAATCTGACTTACATGTTCACATTTTCGAGAGACAGCGATTCTTTTACTACAGACAACTGAGGCTGTTGCTTTAATTTTTCTATTTTTCATTTTCTCTCCTCCTACATTCTTTGTTCCTTCTTCCCTGATACTACTCATTTTGTAAAGATTATTTGTTATCATCCCATTCAACTTCTCTAGGATTTGAGAGAAAAAAAAAAGGCAAGCAGGAAAGATGAATTAAAATGCTTTACTGAAAACTTGTTGCATTGGCACATTCAGAAATCCTTTCAATACTTGCTCAGAAACATGTGCAGCACAGGAATAAGCAATGCACGTTTTGTACATTTTTCCTCCCACCAGAGCCCAAATCAAGGCTAAAAGAACTTCTAGAACAGAAAATATTGATTAACAGATGTCCTTCATCAGGAGAACCTCAAACCCTGAATTCAGTGATTTAAATGGAAAAAGTCAAGAGGAAAAGCATATTATACAGTATCAATTTGCTGTAAGACATTTTCCAAATTGGTGCCTAAGATTCATTTTCTCTACTAATAAATAAGAGGTATTCATATGCATTAACATTTCTAAAGTAGAGGACACAGCAGAAAGATGCTACGTGAATGCTATTAATTAATATGCAAACACAAATAAAACTTCACGTGGGTGGAATAAAACTGTCTACAATGGAATCTTGCCAACATAATTAAAACTTAATGTCTACTTAACAGTCAAATCGCAGACCTGCCAGCAAAATGCTACGTGTTGTCCAACTGCCTGCTTGTTACAGCAACTGAACTATGAAGATTTTGAGTTTAAGTGACTCTGTCAGGATAGCTAATGGAGCAGCATTTTTTAAGAGATGAAATGAGTTTAACCAGGTTTGCTGGAGAAATATGTAAACCTGCGCACTCCTGCTTCCATCTTTTGAGACATATTTGCCAAAATAAAAAAATGTTATTTAAAAATACATTGTCTAATGGCCAATGTAAGTTTGCTCTATACGCTAAAGTTTCTTGATTTCAGAAATCTGAATCATGTCGGGGCCCCTTAACTTTAGCAATTTGCTTTCACAGAGCCAAGGGTGCCTTAACCACTCCTTACTACAGTTAAATTACCATCTTTAGGATGCTTGCTGAAATCTCTACCTAAAAAAGGCCTGTGTTCACACTTCTGAAGGTTCCGATTTCTCTTTTACCTTGTTGCCAAAGGAAGACTCCAAGCTATGCAACCTATATTGGGCAATGTGCAATTTTATGAAAACAGTCTGTGAAATACATCCTTCCTGTAATTACTTCCTATTGAAGATACATAAGGCAGGTTTTAAAGGATTTTAAGGTATTTTAGATTTTTTTTCTGTGTTTTATCTCACATTTAGCTAGCTGACTACCACAACACCAATTTTGGAGGCAAAGTCCTGTAAGAACGATTTAAAACTTTGTTTCTATACACACTGTTAATACTTGAATTATTATTATACCTGAATTATATTACACTYGACTCTTCCACAGCTGAATACATTGCATTCTGCTAAGAATCCCACGCTTTTCAAGGGCTATGTATCTACGTAATAATTATGGGGCACTGAAATGCTGCATACAGATTTGCATGCAGTATTATCAGCAGTCTCTGCCTTTGCAAGTACACATCACCCAGAAGTACCTACTTCAAAAGCCTTCAAAAGCATTTRAAAAAAAATAACAGATTGCACTTTAAAAGAAGAAAGTTGCAGCATTGTCCCGAAACATGATAATCATGCTGCAACTATGCCAAGAAAGTTCTTGGGAAGAATTTTTTCCCTCCCTTTTATTCACTTGGACCAATTAAGAATGCCCTCTGGGCACTGAACRGCATTCTTTGTTCACCGCCTTGTCTCCCAATTGTTGTTGACACACACTGGGAAACTAAGCAGCAACACACATTTATCTGCATAAMTATAACCACAAATTTAGGCCACAATCTTAAACCTGAAATGTTAACACTTACACTTCAAGTCATTATTAGCCCTGGAAATACTTCTGCTAGTAGGCTGGAAGTTCAGCATGCGCCCAAGTGCTTTGTAAGGCCCTGCATATGCCTAAGTACTTGCTCTGTGTGTTATACCAAACATGAGATTTCTTTTTTTTCTGATAGATGCTTTATTAGGCTGTTATCACCCTTTGCATGGGACAGCATACAAGTGCTATAAACATATAATATATATAAAAATCAATTTATAATATTTAATCACAATTTATTGAAATCCTGCGACAGCTAAGACTTGTTTTACATGATTCTGATGATTTCTCGTTGACTTTAGTTGTTTTTCTCTCACAGTAACTTGAAGTAAAGGGAACAGGAACCATTAAACACACAGGCAAATCCCCATCTTCTTGCGGGTGGGAGAGCAGGCTGGGAAGGGACAGACAGAAGGAGAAGAGGGCAGGGGAAACAGGGATGAAGCCCGTCTGTGTCGCACGGTCTGTTATTGCTCTCACAAGCCTTATCTCCACCTATAGCGGTGCAATAAAACCTGAACAAACATTATTTAGGCTCAGGATTAGTGATACATATCAGCAACAGACACCATAGCAACTGATGCTGCAGCGAGGCTCAAAACAAACATTAAAACGCAGCAAAACTCACAGTCCAAGTCGCGCTTTGAGAGGCGCAGCCTTGCCCAGGCGGGGACCTCAGCTCAGCCTTTTGGGGAGACAACGCRACCCGGGCACCTCCGCGCCCTCCCTGGGCGGATAACGCCCGTTTCTAGGCCCCGTTGCTGACTTTAACACCCGTTTCCAGGCCCCGTTGCTCATTTTAACGCCCGTTTCCCCCCCTCGGGGCCATCCCCTCGGGCGCGGACCGCGCAGCCGCCCGCACCGGCCGCGGCCCCAGGGCATCGCCTGCTCCGGCCCTGCGCAGAGCGGCGGCTTTTGAGGAGAAGCTCCCGCAAACAGGGAAAAACAGCCCAGACGGGACGAGAGGAGCCCGCCCCGCCCCCCCGGGCCCCTCCGGGGGAGGCCGGCGCCGCGGCCCCCGGAGCGGCCCCCGGGCCGGCTGGGGGGACCCGCAACAGCCGGGGAGCCGCGGCGGGCCGGGAAGGGCGAAGCTGTGGCCGGGCGGGGAGGGCGGCGGGGCGGGGGGAGGCCCGGCTACCTGGATCCGCTTCCTGTGCCTCCGCCGCTCCGCCATGTTGTCCCCGTCTGCTCTACCGGTGACGTGGGGCCGAGCGGCGGCGGGCGAAGCCTCGCGAGAGGCCGCGGGAGC